TCTCCTCCTCTCCGCTCCCTCTCCTCCCCTCCCTTCTCCTCCGTCTCCCTCCCCTCCCTTCCTCTCCTTCTCTCCTCTCCCTCCCACTCCGCTCCCCTCTCCCTCCTTTCCTCTCCCTCCCTTCCCTCTTGCCCTCGCTCTCTGCCATCCCTATCCTCTCCCATCGCTGTTTGTTGTGTGGTCCCACCATTTGCACTACCCCTCTCTTTGATCAGTACCCCTGTACCTTACTAAGAACTACCCCCATTTGATCTATACTCTCCCTCACACTTCAGAACCCTACCCCTTCATCAGTATACGGGCATTGCGCCATGCGGATAGCGGTGGAGGGGTGCGGGCATGGGGCGCTAGAGGAGATCTACGAGGCGATGGCGGAGACAGAGAGGAGGAACGACTTCAAGTTCGACCTCCTCCTAGTCTGCGGGGACTTCCAGGCCGTCAGGAACCAGCAGGACCTGAACTGCATGGCGGTACCACAGAAATACAGAACGATGAACAGGTGAAGTCACTCAACGCATGCAGTGGTGGCAGGAGTAGCTGACTCCCCTTCCTCCAGCTTCCACAAGTACTACTCGGGTCAGCTCATCGCTCCTATCCTCACCATCTTCATCGGCGGCAACCACGAGGCCTCGAACCACCTCTGGGAGCTCTACCATGGCGGCTGGGTCGCACCCAACATCTTCTTCCTCGGGTACTCTGGCGCCATCACGGTAGGAGGCGTCAGGATCGCAGGGCTGTCGGGGATCTACAAGAGCATGCACTACCGGCAGGGGCACTGGGAACACCCGCCCTATGACCAGAGCAGCATGAGGAGTGCGTACCATGTTCGCGAGTATGAAGTTTGGAAGCTAGGGATGATGACAGGACACGTTGACATCTTTCTTTCTCATGACTGGCCGAGGTTCCTTCTCCTTCCTCTTCCTGCGACATCACATGCTCAAGTTGCCCTGCAGAGGTATCACCAGGCATGGCGACGAGAAGCGGCTCCTGAGGACGAAACGCTTCCTGGAGGAGGAAGTTCGGAACAATGTGCTGGGGAATCCGTACACTACTCCTCTCATTGACAAGCTGAAGCCTGTAGACTTGAGAGAAGCTTCCTGCTGATGCCTGACGCTCCTCGCAGAGCTACTGGTTTGCTGCTCACTTGCACACCAAGTTTGCTGCGGTCTATGAAGTGAGTGTGTGGACAGCAGCCGATGATGATCTCAATGTTGCTTGACAGCACAAGGACACAGACAAGTGCACAAAGTTCTTGTCGCTGGATAAATGCCTGCCCAACAGAGACTTCCTGCAGGTGCTGCTACCCTCTTGCTCTGTCGCTTCGTCCTCTTCCTCCTCTCAACAAGTGTCTTCTCGCTCCTCCCCTCCCTTCGCAATGTTTCTTGCTTCCTCTACCATGAATCTTCCTCTGCAGCATGCCTGTCTTCTTCTTCTGCTCCTCTCGCAAAGTTCTGATCGCTCCTGTGTTTGCTAGGCCATTCACATCGAGACAGCAGAGTCAGCGGCCGGAGAGGACCTCTCCTCCTCCCTCCGCTATGACCCTGAGTGGCTCGCGATCATGCGGTGAGACTGAGAGGAGAGGAAAAGCAGAGGATTAGGATCGAGCGAGAGATGGAGAGGAGGGGAGGGGAGAGGAGAGGAGAGGAGGAAGGAGGAGAGGAGAGGAGGAGGGGAGGCAGCAGAGGACAAGGGGTGAGAAGGGGACAGGAGCAGGAGTGAAGGACAAAGCGGGCAGGGATGTGATGATTGCTGCAGAGCAGCAGAACCCTACAGATCTCTTGGGCGGCAAGCTGTGATGCTGCCTGATCCAGAGACGTTCCGGGCTGAAGTTGACAAGCGTAAACTTCATCATGCGCGAAGACTGTATTACTGACTTGAAACTCTCCTCCGCCTCCGCCTCATCCTCTTCCTCTTCCTCTTCCTCTTCCTCTTCCTCTTCCTCTTCCTCTTCCTCTTCCTCGTCCTCGTCCTCGTCCTCGTCCTCGTCCAATCCGCTCTTCCCCCACTCCCTCTCCCGCCGGCAGAACGCGAATGGATTGCACAGAAAATGAGCGAAGATCAAGATTTCAATCGAATTCCAAACAACTTCGAGGTGAAATTATTTCTCCTCCTCTCCCTCCTTGCCGTCTGACCCCTCACCAGATCACTCTCCCTCCCTTCAATCCTCACCAACGGGTCGGAGGCCAGCCGGAGTTCCATCCCAGCCCTCAGGTTCCTCCCTCCTCCCCCTCCCGGTGCTCTGACATGTTACGAACAGACGCAGGAGCTTGTCAAGAAACTTGACATCCTGATGCCCCACACGCAACTGAACCAGCCAAACAACGTCTGCGAGCCCGAGAACAACCCCGACGAGATCGGTCTCGACGACGACGATGACGACGAACAACCGGCGGTAGGAGCTGATGTGACCTGATGGTAGGGAAGCTAACGATGCTGCAGGGGAACGTAGAGAAGAAGAGCGAGAAGAATGAAGAGGAAATAGACCTTGACGATTAAAGATGAGCAAGAGAGGAAACATTTCATGTCCGCGACTTTACTAGTCATCCATCCCTTCCTCTAGCATCTCCACGAAGTTCTTGAACGAGTCTGCCCTCGCCCTCTCCTCTTGTTGGATTTTCAGTTTCGGATCAGAGACATCGTTTGACTCGTTCCCTTTCCCCGCCTTGTCTGCATCGGTGACAGCAAAGACTCCTCCTCTTCTATCGCCTGCTCCTGCTGCTTCTGCTTCTCCTTCTGTTCGTCCTCCTTGTCCTGTGCTGGCATGTTTGTCTGCAGCTAGACTGTGGGACTCCTTCTTCTCTTGAAGGTTTTCAGCTGCAGCTCCCCTGCTGGCTTGCCTGGAGCCTTTCGGGTCCTCATTCATGGGCTGACGGGCAAGGGCAGCAGGAGAAATCGAAATTCTCCCGATCATGGCCAGCTGCTTCTCCCTGCTCATCGTCGCATGTCTATCTGCCCACCTCTTGCTTGCAACTGATCGCCAGAACGTCGAAGAAGACAACTTTTGTGTCATGTCCTGTGAGACAACCTCGTTCAATCGTGAAGGAAGTCGAACGCGGTGCTGTGTCTTTCTTGACACGATTGAACGTGTTGTATGTTGTCTCGTGACCTGCTGTCTTGCGATGTTTCCTTGGTTGCTTCCCCGGTGCGAGGAGCGAGAGCGAGCGGCTGCTTTGCTCTCTTGCACATAATCTTCGGCTGCGACTTGCCGTATGAATCGGATGTCGCTGTCAACCACTGAGACCTCATCTGCCCCATCTTCAGACGACCCTGACTCAGTCTCTTCAGACGTCGAGGCTCGCGTCTCGCTTGTCTCGTCCGACTCCGCCAGCCCCTCCCGTGGGTCTGAGTGGGTCCTGGAGGACAGCATGGCCTCCTTTACCGCCTTCCTCTCCTCGATCAACACCTGTAGGTCCGATACCAGCTTGAGGTCCATCACCCGACTGTGTTCATCGCGACATTCAGCGAGTTCCTTTAGCACGTGTCTGACTCCATGAGCGAGAACATTGATGTCTGCGAGAGTCGACCTGAGAAATCTCCTTGTCTGGTCGAGGGAAGGAGACATCTCGACGTTTCCCCTCAGTTTCATTGCACTTCGCTCAAAGAAAGAATCTTCGGCGAGGCCGGAGGAACCCAGAAACAACAAACGCTCGCCAGATTCCGATGTATGTGACACTTGAGACGAAGACGAGGACGAGGACGAGGACGAGGAAGACGAGGACGAGGAGGATCTCCTAGAAATCGTAATCCTGTCCAGCGAGGAGAGGAGTGGAAAGTCCTGGCCAAACGACCTCTTATCTCCTCTCCTTCCCTTCGTCATGTCCACCTTCTCTGTCTCGTTCCTCTCATCATCTCCTCCTCTTCTTCTCATCCCCTTCTCTTCCTCTCCTCCTCTCCTCTCCCTCCCCTCCTCATTCCCACCATGCCTGTCCAGAGGACCATGTAACGTCGTTTCTAGCACTGCCCTAGATCTGATGCTAATGCAGCAATTAAGAGTATGCAGCTGCCCCCGAAAACGATGGGGTTGTGACTAAAAGTTTGACATCGGAGGTATCACTACTATCAGTGAGCGGTCAGGCCGGGGCAGTCGCGCCGCAACTTAGCCGGGCCCCGGCTTAGAGAGACTTTGACAGGATTTACATCCATCATAGTAAGACCTCTACTAGTCCATAAAGACCTCTCACTCCCCACGGTGCTGCTCCTGGTCAATCACTGACTTCCAACTTAGCTCCTGCTGCTCAAGTCTGGCTCACTTCCGAGTTTCTGCCGCCGGATCATGCTTCGAGGCTCAGTTCGAGTGAGAGTTGGGCTTCTCCCCCCTGTTGGATCCAGGGCTTGGCAAAGTCGGATCAGCCTTTTCCTCCGGTGCCTAGCCTAATAGCCCTCCCCCTTCTGATTCATTTTAGGCTCTTCAGTGGAGGCTCAGGCTTAGTAGCCGGACGATCATTACCCTCCGAGGCTTGGATTCTGTTGATGAATTTCCGAAGTTGTATTGTTTGACTCCGTTTCTAACAAGATAGGAAATAAAAATAATGCTGATTTCTCCTCATTCACAAAGGAAAAACGAGGAGAAAAAGGAGGAAGAAGGGGAGAGGAAAAGAAGAAAGAGGAGGAGGAGGAGAGGAAAAATTAAGCGCTGATCATTGGTAATTGCACGACGATCACTGTCACGTTATCGTTGCTTCCGCATCGAACCTGCAGCAGGAGGGGAGACAGGAGCAGGAAGAGGTTAGCCTGCAGAAGGAAGGGGACACGAGTCAAGGCGTCTCACTGCGTATGACGTCAGTGCTTGTGCTGCCTCCTTGATGCCTTGAGAGGAAGTTTTAGACCGCACGATCTTGGCAACCTGAAAACAATGTGAGGGGAGGAGTCGAGGGCAGGTGGGCAATGGAGCTCAATGGGTGGGGAGGGAGAAAAGGAGGAGGAAGGAGAGGAAGGAGACGCATCTTGAATGGTTCGGTGCGTGAGGTAGCCGGCACTTACCGCGTCATTGTCTACCACATCCCACAAGCCATCGCAAGCCAAGATGAGGAAGTCATCACCCACAGTTAGCTGCCATGATGGTAAGAACGAGGCGACGGGCAGCGGACTGTTGTAAGGGGGGGACTTGGACGTTGACGACAGGAAGATCGAGAGGAGGATGGAGAGACAAGGGCTGCCGACCGGAAAGGAAGTGACTTCTGGCTCTGCAGTGACATACTTCTTCAAGGACGCATCACCGAACGCCTAAGGTGACGGGTGAGGACAAGGTTGAAGATCTTCCTAGTTACCCGTGACACGCCCAGACGTCCCATCACTCGATTGAAGATCACGCTGCCTGCCAACCTCATCTCAGCCATGGAGATCAAGAGCGCTCAGGTGTGTGCCTCCTAGTTGCTCTATTCGCATCCTCTCATCTGGCCTGAAGGCAAGAAACATGAGTAAGGATTCGGCATTCGACCTCCTGACCTGTTGGGCTTGTGGTCGCGAGAGAGCTGGAGAGTCTTGGCTCGTCTGCCAGCAGCTTCAACTTCTCTTGCGCGTGATAAGACTCTGATTGACCTGCAGAGGATCGCGCGCGAGTCTCCAGTGTTGGCACAGTAGATCGTTGTCTTCTGTTGCGAGGCATATGCTCACTTTCGTAATTAAACAAGAAAAAAGGTAATTGTGAAGAAAGAGAGAAGCCAATCGAGAGAGGAAAGAACGGATCATGTAAAGGACAGAAAGAAGGAAGCAGAAAAGGATGAAAGAATGTAGAAGGAGAGGGAAGTAACTTGAACGATGTGGTGAATTCTTACCGTTACTAGACAGACAACAGCAGTCGAGCCCGTCTAACAAACAAAATCAGAAAGTGATCAGAAGGGGAGAAGTCTCGACAAAGAAAGCAGGAAAGTGGCAGTAATGGATGAATGAGGACAATTCCCTGAAATTAAACAAGACAAAACCGAAACGCACACCTCAGCAATATTGTTCTCGTCGCTGTACCGCAGAAACCTGAAGCATGAAATCAAACATCTCACAGCATTGTTCTCTCTCTCTCTCTCTCTCTCTCTCTCTCTCTCTCTCTCTCTCTCTCTCTCTCTCTCTCTCTCTCTCTCTCGCTCGCTCGCTCTCTCTCTCTCTCTCTCTCTCGCTCTCTCTCTCTCGCTCTCTCTCTCTCTCTCTCTCTCTCTCTCTCTCTCTCTCTCTCTCTCTCTCTCGTTCACATAAGATCCCCGCCAACGTCAAAAAGGTTGCAACAGCCGCCTTTGGCCTTTCACTCTCAGTGTATCACTCACTGATTGTCGACATTCGAGAAAGCTTCTTTCAAGGCATCTTCAACCAAATGGTGAGACTGCAAGCATGACCGCACCTGCAATATATAACATTACAAACAACCAAGAAACTTGCACCCTCATCTACCCTTGCAGTGATGTTGTTCTTCAAAAATTCTGCACATTCTCGGCCACCATGACCATCAAAGACCCCAAAACTGCAAAACCTGTCAAACCACAGGCAAGGACGATGACCCCAAACAGAAGATGTAGGTGAGATATAATTGAACTCACAAGTGGACTGTTTCTCCATTCTGTAGTTGGCATATCGAATGAGCTACCTCATGTTCGTCTTCCATCGTCTGTCGCATCCCCTGTACACTGCCTGAACACAGCATTATTCACCACGAATGCATCTCATCCTCTCCATTTGCCACTCACTGCACGCGTATCCCGGATTATCATCCGTTCCTCCGCCACAGTTGAATGAATCACAAGGAGATCGAAGGCTAGAGGGGAGGGCATGGTCTTCAGGGTTGGACGTGTCTGCTCCACCAACAGGCAAGAGTCATTCTTGCTGCGGCCTCATTCTGACAAGAGAAAACTTGCCGGATTGAGATGACTTTGAAGAGTGGTTTGATACATCCTTTCCTGCTCGTCGCGATTCTAGCTGATTGTCAAACACGGATGACAGAAGAAGCAATGCAGACCTTGTATTCCTCTATCATTGCTCTGAGTGGATGATTGTATGCCCATCTTGCTGTCTTCAAACATTCCCGTATCAAATGCTTGTATCGTCATAAAATTTCTTTCCATCTAACTTCAAATCATATGTAGGATCCTCCACTACCTAAGCACGAGAAGCAAACACTATGAAATAACATCTCACTGCCGATTTTTCCCGCTCCCCTTCCCTCCCTCATTCAAGCTCGCCAAAAGGCAACTTCTTGCATCCCCTCAAATTTCCTTCTCGACCATTGAACTTGATGTCAACCCTTTTTTCAGTTTCACTGAGTAGCTTGTTCCTGTCGCTCTATCATCTTTTCGACTTTACTCAGCACATGCCGCTATCAAAATCTTGTTCAAAACTTGGCTTTACATCAATAAGCCTCCTCTCCCCTTGACTTTCTCTATGGTGCACTGTCTTGATATGATTACTTTTCAGTCTGTTTTCAAGATGTTTCATCCACTTTGCTCTTCTCTGCTTCCGTCCTCACCAAGATTCTTTCGTGATATTTTTGTCCCTTGCTTCATTGTTTCCCCCTTCCATACATCTTTCTTTCTGTCCCTTCCCGCTACATCCTCTCATCCCACAACCATCGTCGTATCTACTGTCGCTCGGCTGTGCATGGAACAAAGGAGAACGCGGGGGTCCCCTATCACCCCACCCCCTCTTTTCCATAGCGTCCCCCTTCATTTGTACCAGCTATCACCACCCCACCTCCCCATTGCACAATCAGATTGACTACCCTCGAGTCATGTTCTCATGGGATTGTGAGGAGATGAGGGCACGGTCACGGAACACCGGGCCCGCCGGTACGCACGGTCAGGCCCGCCGTCGGTCACCGTGGCACTGTGACGCCGCCGCCGGGGTGCCACTGGGCCACGGTGCGGCCCGGCCTGGACTTCCGAAAGTTGTGCGGGTGCGCGGAAGGACAGAACTTCCAAAGACTCGGCGGACTTTGTAGGCAATCAAACAATCATTCACTCATCACTCGGACACAAAATTACCATGCTGCTGACGGCAGTGAAAGAATACAAACTACGAGGTTTCGATTTTAGCGGTTGCATAGTAGTCTGAGAATCCAACATCTGAGTCCGAATCGTTCCCCATGTTCAAAACGCTTCCATGATCGGAAGGCGGCGACAGGCGAAGGAAGCCTCTTGCTGTTGCCTCATCAGGAGTATCACTCTCCAATCCTTCTTCATCCTGTTGCTGATCGACAAAAAATAAGTTCTTCATCATTCATCTTTGATCTTTACCTCGTCTTGAGCTGAAACCAAATAGATGTCCAAAGGCCCATCCTTTGACTGCAAGTAGATCTGATACTTCTGTCGATCTCGCTCAGGAAGATGCTCTGGATATGGGACGGCGATGGTCGTCCCGCTAGGCGCCTTGATCGCGATTACTGTCTGATCCTTGAAAGCAGGGATGTTGCGAATGTCCTCATCAGTCACGTACGCCCGAGATCGAAAGTTCGCATCATTCTGCATCAAGCAGGTGAGCAAATGACACAGGGTGCATCAAAAGAATGCAGCAAGAAGCAATCTAGCAAGAGCGCTGATACCTGCTGTATGACGAACTCTCGATTAAGAATATCCATGTACGAATCAAGCTCCTTCGAGCGGGCTTCCAGCATTCGCAGCTTTTCTTGCAGATCTTCAACTCCCTCATGATCAGTGCCATCCCCCTCACCACACCTGTGAGGAGCTCAACAACACAAGAAAGCAAGTGTGAGCCAAGACAAGACAACGTACCCTTTCCATTGGATGTTGTTCTTAGACTTCTTCTCTATCAAACCGATCCCCTCCAAGACATTCGTGATGTCGTAGATTCTTCGTTTCTGCACAGAAGCAGCAAGTCAAATGGCAATGATTTAGCATGGCACATGGCACAGCACCTGGACGAGGAGCTTTCCAGCGGCAGTGTTGAGATCAATGATGCCGTCCGGGGCATCTTGCACCAACGACACAAACTTCTTAGTGAGTGTTCCAAGCGAACAATCATTTCTGCTTCCCCCTAGTGCAAGAGTTACTTGTATGACCAAACATTCATGAAGATCGAAAAGGGGCTAACCGGAAGGATCATTTCGTGAAGGAGTATTCCCTTTCTTCAGTGGGGAAAAGTAAAGAGTCAGATCATCCATTTGCTAGCGTGTGAAGGATCTGTAGTGACTTCTCACCTTCCTTTTCGAAGATGAAGGCGACTCATCCACCAATCCGTAGTCCCCGCATGCATCATCCGCACCCAAGTCCTCATCCTCGGTTTTGACTTGCCTTTTCATGGGCCCCATCGCAGCAGCGACTTGCTGCTAATAACTATGCCGAAAACGAGAAAACAGCAGAAATAGGCGACACGCAAAGAACGGGGATTTCTTACACGAAAGTAAGAGAGGATATCAATGCAGAGATGCGATCATTACCTTCAAGACAAGCCCTTGTATTCCCCTCTTTGCAAGTACACGACGAGAAGAGGATCTTGGACGATGTTTCTTGACCAGAGGGAGAAGAAGAGTCGATGTCTTGCTGGAGTGACGGGGAGAAGCAAGCAAGAAGAAGATCGAGGAATCAGAGCAGGAGCTAGAGAGAAGCGTCTGGCGGAAACGTCGCCTCAATGCTTCACGCTGACTGCAGCGGGAGCATACTGGCGGGCATCCTCTACTCAACTTTTAAAAATCACCAAAGTTCTTATAAACCCAGTACCTCCATACATCAAAATTATATTTATTTTCTACTGGATTATCGACATGAGGGCGAGTTTCGGTACAACGACAGCCACTCGAGTTTTAAAATATAATAATATAGAATAATAAAAAGAAATATCCTTCTTCGACTCATTTTTCAATACAAGCAGAGTTCCTTTGTACTGGTTGAAAACGAGCGTTTCGGAATATCTTCTCATAATATATATAATATTTAAAAATATTGATTACCATGGTAGTTTGCCGACGAAAAAAGATATATTCTTTTATAAATTACTTATTTTGTTTTGCGTACGGTTTAATAACGAAAAATCTTCATTTTAAAGGCTCTGAGGCGAACTTCCAAAACTTGCTCCACCCCTACCAACGTACCCTGGCACCACCGGGACCACCACCACCACCACCACCACCATCACCATCACCACCACCACCACCACCACCACCACCACCACCACCACCCCACCACCCCCACCACCACCACGAATCTGGATTGGGCCATTCTTGCTACCCCACCCCCACTTCACAGACACCCCACCCACCCTTCGAGCTGCCGCTACTCATCAGGATCAGGCTTTGTGCGACGGTCCTCTGGCTCGGACGGGACTGGAGGCTAGTGGGTCCTAGGAGAGTCTTAACAACTTCAATAGCCCTTCAGCGGGGATCATCGATCCGATGATCCGATTATTGAAGGCGTGAAAATATATGATAGCCGCTTTCACTTTCGGGAGTTAAAATAGCCTGACCGTCGCCGTCGGACAGTGATGCGGCGGCGGCCACGGCGCAGCACCGGGCCGCGCGGCCGCTCCGGGCGCGCGGGCGCGCGGCTTCCGGCGATCCGGCCGGCCGGGCCGGCGGCTGGCCCCGGGATCATCATAGCACTGCGGCATACCGACGGTACTCACTACCCGGCGTCATTAGTCGGATAGTATCATCATCGGATCATCGGATTCCGAGTCAGCTTACTCCGAAGTGCAAGGCCCCGGAGTCCGAGTCGGACTACGGTCCGGAGCCCGGTCGGTCACGGGTCAGTGCCAGCCAGTGCGGCTCAGCGGCCGCCGAGTCCCGGCGGCCCTGCCGGGCCGCCGGGTACGGTATACTCGGGCCAGGCGCCGACCCGGTACCGTACCGTACGGTCGGACTCAGCGGCCTACGCGCCGGCTGGTCACGGGTCACCGGGTGGCGGCCAACGCGGCGGCCGCGGAGGGCCCGGCTGTGACTCAGGCTTGCCCGGCACCGGACGGTGCCGCTGCAGTGCGGCAGGCCGGGCCGGCCCGGGCCGCCGGGCCGCAGTCACGCCGCACGCCGGGCCGGGGTGATTTTAACTAGTAATACGGTAGTACCGCCCCGCTCCGGGCCGAGCAGAACTTAACTTCGGAAGCTGTTCGGAAGGCTCAAATGACTCGAAGGTGAGGCGAGCTCGTAGGTCCCACTTGTAAGGGCGCGTCATGTTGCTTCGGGTCACAAGCGCTATGGCGCTGATCGGAGCGGCCTCTTCGTTCATGATCAGCCTTCCTGCTCCTTCACACACATCTTGTCTCACCACTGTATGCTCTGTTGTGTCTCCCAATCCTTCCCAGCCCTCGTTTTCCTCCTCCAGGAGATCCATCGTCGCTGGGATCTTGAGCGTAGGGGGTGCTTTTCTTGCTGGCCCTGTTCTTGCGGAGGATCGTCCAAAAATCCCAGAGGATCAGATGATAAAGCCTCCGTCAAACAGCTGCGCCCAGGGTAAACTCCTTGCTGCATCCCGCAATCATAGATTTACCATCGTCCCAGCCCGCTGATCGTTGACGTTTCCAGGGGTTGGTGGCAAATGCGAGGAGCTTGCAGAGGGAAACCCGCTCATCATGGAGCTTCAGAAGCGATCTGCAGCAAACAGGTAGAAATTTGGTGATACCGCCGTCATTTTTATCGTCAAGGCAGGTTGAAATACCAAAAAGAGGAACTTGAAAGCTACTGGTAACCTCGCGCCTGTCTCCTATTTGCACTTTTAGAATAACCACCTTAATCGAAGGAACCGCAACTACAAGGACTTCTTCGACAACTCGTGCACTGCTCAGAATCGCAAGGTGGTGAAAGATCTGATAGTTCGTGTCGCTGAGTTCCTTCCCCTGGCAGTGCAATTTTGTCCAGCGCGAAGATGGAACCTGGGCGGTGATCGACAAGGACAGTACAATTCCCTTGAAGAGCAGCAAACAATGAAGTGTCACTAGTATGCGAATCAGGCCATGAAGGCGATGCAGAAAATGATTTATTCGCGGGTGATGATCATCATATAAAGCGTTTCAACAAACATTCAAATATTTACGATCCGTCCTCAGGAATTCCAAACCTGCCGAACATTATAGGTCAGATATCAGAGTCGCTGCATTTCTCCATCTCAACCTATCAATCTTGCCCTTCTTGATGTTCTTCGGATTGGGACGTCCACCTGAAAAAGCCAAATCAATCAACATGTCCTCAGCAGTACAACATGGAAATATCCCGTCACTCACATTCCTTCCAGCGTGTCTCACATCCATGCAACGCAGCGTATCGAAGCCTGTCCGAGATGTCGTTGTTGGCTGCCTCCTTTGGAAGAAAAGAGCATCAATACACAAAAGAGTGGTCAAAGACATAAAACATGCGCAAATCAGCAAAACTCGAGATCAGCAGTCAAAGTCACATAATAACTTGACAGTGACGCATATCAACCAAGGTGTGTGAGCCACAACAACATCTCGCCCGGAAATTCAGAAGCAACCATGAAAATCAAGCATGCACATGTGTTGAATTTTGCATGAACCTTCTCCCTTTCTCTTCAACAATTCTGCAGCATCTCCAACCTTGCCTCGAATCTATCTGCCTCAACACTCTGTCGAAATCCTTCTAACATTATCATGAACACGATCATCCATCAGTCAAAACAAAGGCCTACGAAATACAACACTTTCTCTTCCAGTTATTGCCCTTCTCCTCGTCGCCCTTCTCCTCAGGATGATTCTCATCGATACCAACATAGCATCAGCAGAAAGGTAATTCATAACATATATGTATCATAAACATCAGCATAACTTTGAATCATCTTGCTCTTCAAGCGATCTATGTTGACGATCACAGCAATCTACGATATTTGATATGCGAGTGGTTGTAACGAAATGATTCCACATAGGAAATCCAATTGTGCTGCTTGTTGAACACCATTGTTCCCTACAGCAATCAGGATCCATATCATAGTTGGCGGCATAATTGAATCAGCATGATAATCGCCCGCAACACCGACCTCCATTTGATCATAGATATCAATGGTGAACACCTCTAAGACTTCACCATCTGTTCTATACTACCCCCTCATTCTCTCTCCCTGTACCGTCTTTTCTCTATCTGTCTCCTCGTGCTTTGCTGCTTGTTCATGTTCTCCCTCTCCTCCCGTCCTCCTTCCTCTTCTTACTTGTCTGTAGGGGTTGCTCGCGCCTTTCAGCACATCAAACATGGCGGCTCCTCCTGACCCCCGGACCCCTTCGTTTCTTCTCATGACCCTGCGTCCCTGGAGTGGGGTGGTGATAGTATTTCTATAAACATGTATTTGACTGAAATAATGTATATCAATTAGTACTATAATAAAAGATTAAACTTTTATGATACCAAAAAGAAGCATATGGGTGGGTGATTTATTGTTATCCATCGTGTTCTAATTTGGGGTCGTCGTTGAGGCACACTTGGAAATTCAACCACGGGCACACCCCATCTATGGTACCCCCTACCCTTTTATATTGTGACCTACCCATTGATTCAACTCTCAACAACCTTTCAAAAGACGGGTGTATAAAGTACCCTAGAGGGGTCATTTAAGAAAAACCTGTACCCCCACCCTCCCTGAAATGGATCAACTTAGTCCTGGAATCCCGTCGGGCCGGCCGGGCCGCATTGGGCCTGAACTTCATTTCGGGCTCAGAGGCCGTGTAGCACAGCTAGTACATGTGCATGGGCGCATAGCTAGCAATAGAGCATCGATGCTGTACCGCTGCCAATGGTGTGTGCGACTCTTTGACATGAGTCGCCTGCTCCTCCTTCCCTTCCTACCATTACTAGTCCTCACCTCTTCCTTCCCTTGCTACCAATATTAGTCCTCACCTCTTCCTTCCCTTCCTACCACTACCAGTCCCAATCCTCGTCCTCCTTGCTATCCTCCTCGAGCACCTTCCCGTCATCTACCTTAACCATCTACACCTATAACACCAACTCATTGTAGTTATTAATTTCTCATCCTCCTTTCTCTTCTGCCTCCTTCACGTTTGCTCCACCCTCCTCACGGCCCCACAATACTCAGATTCTCGTCTCCCAACACCCGCTCCCTATATCTCATCGCCCGTGCGTTTCCTTTGTCTCAATTTCTACATCCTCCGTTTGATATATATCATAAGTGTGAACAAGCAGCCAATGTTCACAGCAAGGCTCTTGTTTTCCTGCCTTGTTCTCCTTATCAGCAACACACGGGAACCGCATGCTTTCTCTCTTGGCACCCTCAGAGAACCAGGAGGGAGCTCCAAGGTCTACTTTGCTGCTCTACGAGGAGGGAGAGGGCAAGACGAGTCAGCATCGTCTCCCTCCTCCTCTGATTCCGCTGGTGAAGAAATGAACACCGGTAAGCACATGGCCCGGACGACAAGGCGGCAAACCACCAAGAAGCAGGTGAACATCGTGAGCTGGGACGCTGTGCAGGACAGGGAGAAGAGGAGAGCCAAGGAGCCGCAGGCAGACGTTCGTGTCCTCCTGAAGAACCAGAGCGCGACGTTGGGCATCACCCCGTCTCAGCTGGAAGTGCTTCCTAAGAGTGCCTTGATCAAGCACGCGAGGGAGAGAGGAATCGTTGTGTCGGGGGAGAGCTTGTCGAACAGCAACGTGCGGGCAGCGCTGCGGCCATACCTTCCCTCGGGCAAGGAGCTCAAGGAGCTGCTGAGAAAGGTCAAGGACAAGAAGAAGATAGTGGGAGACGACGCGAAGAAGACGAGGAAGTCCAAGTATCAGTCCTCCAAGTGGGAGAGGGTCAATGGAGAGCTGGTTGAGGTGAGCGTCTACGGGCCCGGGGGACCGACAGACTCGGACTTTGTGCAGCTAGCGAAGCAGCACGTGGACGAGAAATTCAGCGAGGAGGAGCTGACCCGGAAGAAGAGAGCAGAGCTGGTCCACGAGTGGGCGGAAAGGTTCAGCGGGGAATACTTCAGGATGGTCTACTCCGGAGAGATTAGTCCGACAGGGCAGCCGAGGGATACGTGGGAGAACGGAACGGCTCCAGAGTGTCTGGATGTGTGGGGTGCGGCGGCGGATCCGACGGGGATTATGGTCGAGTTGAACGATGAGGAGGAGGCGAAGGATGAGGAGCAAGTCGAGTACAACGCAGTCAACAACCTTGTGAAGGCGACGGGGGAGAGGCCTGCTGTACTCCCAGCAGAGAAGGAGGGTTACGAACGCTGGGCTGCCCTGGAGGACAAGGACTTCTCGGTGTACAACACCAAGGAGCTGAACGAGCGGCTGCTGCTGGCAGCGAAGGAGGCCGATGTCGTGGCGGTGAATGTGCTAGTGCAGGCAGGGGCAAGAGTTAATTGCCGGGGAAAGGAAGGAGGAGGAATGCCTCCCCTCGCCATCGCCGTCGTTAGCGGCAACTTGCCCGTCGCGAGGCGCCTGCTGCAGCTCGGGGCCAACGTCTCCACCAGAGTCGAGCTGAGAAGTTCCCTCCTGCACCTGGCCTCGGGGATGGGGAAACCGGACATGGCAGAGCTGCTTGTCAGCTACGGGGCAGAGCTTGAGGCCATCAACTATGGGGGCTGGACGCCTGCCCACTGCGCAGCCCTCCTTGGTCACTTCCGCTACGTCAAGCAGCTTGCCCAGCTCGGTGCCAACTTGAGTGCGGTGTCTGTGTATTCTAGGGAAACGCCAGCGCAGCTGGCAAGGAAGGCAGGGCTGGAGCGAACAGCAGAGGCAATAGAGCTGCTGGAGAGGCTGCTGGAGGAAGGAGTCATTCCGAGGCAGAAGGTAACGAAGCTGCGCCCGAGCTCGCCGCAGCCCATGGAGTCGTCGGAGGACGAGGACGAGCAACTTTCCCTGGGTATCTCGGACGAGACGTACCTGCAGGCTATGCCTAAGAAGGAGCTCGTCAACCGGGAGGAGGGAGAGAGAGTGTTACAGGAACTTGAGGAGACGCTAGATCAGGCGCTCATGTCCCCTCAACTCGCATTGCAGTGACCCGACGACTCCTCTCCTCTCCTCCTCCACCTGAAGGAAGAGAGGAGAGGTGAATGCTGCGTGCTGGTCACGAAGGACAAGGACGGCCAAGGGTGACGAGGACGAGGACGAGGACGAGGACGAGGGTCGCTGCTCACGTTGTACGGCTACGCAGCTGAACCGAGTGACAAGCTTTCAGAATGGGTTGAGACTGTGAGGGTTGGGTGTCGGGTAGGCAAGGAGGAGGAGGAGGAGGGGGAGGAGGAGGAGGAGGAGGAGGAGGAGACTTGTTGCCCTAATACCATCGTCTTGGACTTCGTCTCACTTCGAGTGTATGTGCTTGGAGGACAGGAAATGACGACTTGAGCTTCCCTCATTCATTCTTCCCCTTCCTTATCATCCCTCTCACCTTGCTCAAGAACGCTCCCTCTCTCGCCCGAACGACGAGGCCGCAAAGGATCAGCAAAACAACTCCGACAAGAATGTGCACGAGGAGGAGATGCGGGCGTATTGCTCCACGTCCTGCTCCATAGTTAGTCCAACATCCATATCATCATCATCTTCATCACAATCATCTCCATCGCCTCCATCACCTCCTCCTCCTCCTCCTCCACCTCCACCACCACAATCATCTCTTTTTCCATCTCCGTCATCCACAACAATGGCAGCACCAAGCAGTAGCGATTCTGAGAGCAGGGCGATGGCCCCGCAGCAGACGAACGTAAGAGAGGAGGAGAACCCTGGCAGGAGCATCCTCCCGGAAAATTTAATCTGCTCTACAGTCAGTGAATCAATTCCTTGCCTTCCTTTCCTCCCTTGCTCCTGCCTCCCCTCATTCCTCATCCTCCCCTCCTTCCTGCTCCTCCTCCCTCTGTCACCTTCCCTGACGAGGATTCGAAAAATGAATGAGCATGAGCGATGCTCAGGGCAATCCTCATCGTCTGTCTTATCGTCAGGGTAGAACCAGGGATGGAAGTAGAGGTGAGAGGGAGAGCAGCACAAGAAGGAGAGGAGGGGCGGGAGGAAGAGGAGGAGTACGTCGACGTGGAGAGAGCAGGAAGAGAAGAAACGGACAACTGAGGGGGAAAAGGAGGAAGGACGAGTGGAGGAGGGTGTAGGAGTGGGGAGCAGCAGGAGCGCGAGGCGCACGGGGGGGGGAGCTACCATGTTGACACAGTTGCCGATGATCAGAGCTTTCACTCCTGCGCTCCCTCAGACGCTGACCGGCAAGGCACATGCTCGACCTAGAGTCGGAGCAAGCAGAGAGGCGAGGAGGAGGTACCCTCCTGTGACGGGGACGAGACGGAGCCCCCGTGCTCGGATCTAGGGGTAGCAAGTGATGCGGGAAAGAGCGTGAGGAGGTGGAAGGAGAGAGGGAAGGGCACGAGAACGGCAGGGAAAGTGTTGACAGTGGAGCAGGAGAAGCAAAACAACAGTGAGAAGGAGGAGGGTGGCTGGTGGAAGTGGCGAAAGTCATTGAGGGCGTAGACGAGGAGCAGGAGGAGCAGGAGGAGCAGGAGGAGCAGGAGGAGCAGGAGGAGCAGGAGGAGCAGGAGGCAGCAGGTGCAGGAGCAGCAGGTGCAGGAGGAGCGGGAGGAGCGAACCTGCGCGGGAGTTGCACTTGCATGCGTGAAAGCCTCAGTAACGCCATTGAGCGCAAGCAACATGACGTAAAGGCTACGGGAGAGGAGGTGAGACCGGTCCCCTCCGCAGCTCCTACCCACCTGTACCACCCCAGGATGCCGGGCATGTCCGTACTGCTCCATTTGACTCCGTAGAGGATGTGGACCAGCCTGCTGGGCAGTGAGCTGGAGTCTTCCTGAGGAAGGGACGCCAGACGCAAAGGAGTAGCCCTGGCCGAAGGAAGCGACGAGCAGTCCAATGAAAACAACGAGCTGGGAGAGGACGGAGAAAACCTGAGGGGAAGGAGTCACAAGGGTTCTAACTGCCAATTGCTCCTCCCGCCATCCTCCTGCCTCTGTTCCTCCTCTCAGCCTTCCTCTTCCTCCTCCTCATCCTCTTCCTCTTCCTCCTCCTCTTCCTCTGTCCCTCCTCTCAGCCTTCCTCCCTCCTCCCTCCTCCTCCTCCTCCTCCTCCTCCTCCTCCTCCTCTTCCTCCCTTCTCCCTCCTGATCTCCTTGCGATTCCTCCCTCACATTCCTCGTGTTTCCCTCGTTCTCTCCATCCTCACCTCAAGCGCCTCATCGAAGTCCTTCGAGCTCAGCAGCTTGCTGAATGCGAGCTGGGCGAGAAAGTCAAGGGAGAACAGAAGCATGACGTGATCGAAGAGGGGAGGAAGACGAGGCAGAGGACGAGAACAGGAATATGGAGGTCAAAGGGAATGACTGGGAGGAAGAAGGGGGGGAGGAGAAGCAGCAGCAGGAGCAGCAGGAGGAGCAGGAGCAGGAGGAGCAGGAGCAGGAGGAGCAGGAGGGGATGAATGAGCAGCAGCAGCAGCAGCAGTAGCAGCAGCACCTGTGCCATCTCCTCAAGGGGGAGGAAGACAAGCCTCACAGCGAGCGACCCCAAGTTCTTCCTCGTCCTGTCAGTGACTTCCTGCAGATCTCAGCTGCTCACCTGCACGATGCCGTACATGGCCCACGTCTGAGACTCGAAGAGCCCTAGCAGGATCTGAGGACAGAGTTCTCAGGAGGAGGACGAGGTTCTAGGAGGACGAGGGGGAAGAGGAAGGGGAAGGGGTCTCGACAAGTAAGGGATCGCTGTAGCAAGGGAGCGGAGCGCTAGGAGGAATGGGGGAGGGGGGATGCGCAGGGAGGAGGGAAGAGCTACCAACGTCTCCCCCTTCTCCATGAGGTACTTCTGGAGCGATTTCATGCACATGGTCGCCGCAAGGCCAGCAAGCTGCAAGTCCAACTGACTGAAGGAGCTGAAGAACAAGGATCCACTGACGACCCCGACGGTCTCCGACAGCCCGACCCCCTCCCGGCTCATTGCAAAGAAGGCGAAGAGGCAGCCGAAGATGCTGAGAGCATACGAGATCTGCCCGGCCGCGAACGCCCGCAGGGGACGAGCTGGGTCTGCCATGACCATGGCGGCGGTCAACACGACCTTGACCGTCAGAGCAAGCATCTCGGTGCGAGCACGCAGCTTGATGAGGAAGAGATTCTGCGCGAGGATGTAGAGAGGCTCGCTGAGCATCTCGAAAGCAGCGGCCAAGACGAACATGCTGGCGATGAGGTGGTAGCTTTCGTGCTCGCTCCTCTGACTCGCGTCCAGGACGTTGGACGCGAACAGGACGGCTGCTCCGACGAGGAGAGAGAGAGGAATCGCAAGCCATGCCACGGAGAGGATTTGAGCTCGCTCCTTGCTGTCCTTCCACGCTGAGGGAGAGGTCCTGCATGTAGAGTGATCACCTTCGAGGGGAGAGGAGGAGGAGGAGGAGGAAGAGGAAGAGGAGGAGGAAGAGGAGGGAGCATATGAGGACATGACAAGGGAGGAGAGGGAGGAGAGAGACAGAGTCAGGGGAGGAGCAGCGGAGAAGGAAGAGGAGGAAGACAAGGGAATCAGAATGAGCGGGAAGAAACCTCTGGCAAGCATCACGAAAACCTTCCCTGGACAGGGAGAGGACTGTATCATAAAGAAGCTGAAGCTTCACAGCTCCGATCCCATACGAGCTCCTGCACAGCACAACGGCCATCATGTGGCAGGCGAGACGATCAAGTGGGCCGCTTACTTGTCCACAGATCTCGCGATAACGATGTTCAGCCCGAAGGTGAGGAACCTTGAGGGGGTCAAGTGTCAGCGAGGGAAGGGCGGCAAGTCCATGCTGGAGGACCTGGAGAAGAGCTGGAGGGTGAAGAGGGAAAGAAGCCCGGAGGAAAGAGACCCAATGACTGCATCCAGCACATCACTTGGTTGGGACCCGCACTTCATTCCTCCTACACACTTCATTCCTCTTACACACTTCATTCCTCTTACAGACTTCATTCCTCTTACAGACTTCATTCCTCTTACAGACTTTTGCTGCACACGATCTTCAAATCTCACATCCTACGGTATCGAATCCTTAGAAGAGCTCTGATACATTTCAACTACTTCCGTTCTTTCTCGCTGCCACAAGCTTTCTTCGATCTTCCTCAGCCTGGCTAGTGCTGCACAAGGGGCAAGCTTCCGTGAATTTTGCACATGGCTTCAAAATGAGACCTTTTGTTGATTTTGATGTGTTTTGATCCTGACCTCGATGTATCTGGATCCCATCCTAGTGTGTGGTATTCATCGCAGCTTCTTGTTCGGATCTCTATCAGGCTCCTTCCTCTCTCCCCACTTCTTCTCTTCCTGGCAATTTTCTCTCTCCTCCTCTCCTCTCCTCTCCCCTCCCCTCCCCTCCCCTCCCCTCCCCTCCCCTCCTGTCTCACTTCAGGGCCGCCCTACCATTGTTTCGTCCTTGGCTTCCTCCGGACATGGCATACCCGGTTGTCCATCCAATCCCATGATAGTAACTGCTGTCTCACTTTGTTGGATATGTAACTTTCTGAGGTGAGCTCGTATTTACTAGGCCAAAACAAGGGATGCGTGGGGATGTGGGTAAACTGTGGCGGCCATGATAAAGGAGGCGTCAGGGGGCGGAACTCGGAGAGGGATGGTGACGAAGGTGCTTGTGCTTGCTGTCATGCTGATGGAGGAGTTGAGAGGATGCGGAGCGACTGTGTCGACTGCATTCTGCCCTGTCAGGAGCCTGAGAGGATCCTTTGCTAGGCAAGTACAGCTTACCTGCCATAGATGGCCCCGCAAAGAATTTTGGTTGATGCAGAAGGGGTTCGGGCAGGGGAAGGCTGGAGGCAAAGGAGTCGGGGGAGAAAGGAAGAAGAGGACCATAAAGGTTGTGGAACCCGGTGATGTTGAGAAGTCACAGGATCATAGGAGGCTGGTGGCAAATGCCGTCGCGAGGGTGGGTCCGGACATGATTCAGTCGCTTGATAGCAAGGGATACTTCATGGCAGACGGATTCCTAGGGGAAGATGCTGGGATGGAGATGAGAAATGAGGCTCAAGAGCTGTACAAGTCAAAGAAGATGACAGTTGGACAATCTACCAGATGGAATGAGAAGCAGAACAGAACAGAGCAGTACGAGAAGTTCAACGTGTACACCATGCAGATAGAAGGCGGCAGCATGTACTTCGATGCTCCACGGTTGACCGAGTACATCGTTGAAGCTACCTCCAAGATCGCTGGTGCGATAAACAATCACCGTGGGAAATCAGTGCTGCTGGAAACACACCAGACCAACAAGCTAGCGGTGTGCGTGGGGAACGGATCGTCGTATGCGAAGCACTATGACAACCAGGTTACAACCGCATGCAACCAAACGTCTTCTCCTCTCAGCAATCGACCATCTGATACCTGCATGCTTAGGGAGGTGCCGACAGGAGGAAGCTGACTGTCCTCTACTACATGAACCCAAGGTCTCGTTTTCTCCCTGTTGACCCGCACCTACCTCCTCAAGCCTCTACGGGCGATTGACATCTTCCTCCAGTTGGTCCGAGTCGCACGGTGGGTGTTTTCGTATCTTCGATCCCTACAACAAGGACTCGTTCACTGATGTCGCTCCCAAGTTCGACCGTGAGTCCTTGCCCCGACTCGAGCTGTTCTTTCAGCTGAGACCCAGGAGACAGGCCTGCTGTGCTTCTGGTCAGACAAGCTGATCCACTCGGTCGAGCCTTCCTTTGCCGAGAGCGTGAGTATCGGAACTTGTCAGATTGCCAAAGAGGCTGATCAAGCTCCAGGAGGAGCAGTTCCGATACGCGCTGACGGTCTGGCTGTATGCCAACCAAGACACACAGATCGAGCATGACCCTGTGAGTCACTGTACAGGGACAGCCAAGTGAAGTCCGAGCTGATGACTCTTCACTCACGCAGGAAGCAGAGAAAGCGCATTTTCTTGAGGCCTGAGCCATGGACACGGACGTGCTTTCTGACTTGAGCCTGGTCAGTCTGGCGCTTTCACAGTACGGTGCCAGTAGCACTCGGGGGGCTCCCGGGGGCTTCAGCAGTAGAGACTTCCAAGGCAAGCAGATCATTGTGGCGGCCGGGCATGCCTCGACGTATACACCGGGGACGACCGACCGGTGCCACTGGGCACTGGCGGCTGAGTCTGGGCCACGGAGTCCCACCGTCCGGCCAAGTTAAACTCTGTGTTGTTGTTCAACCGCCCGGTGAGTCGGGCCCCAGGGTGTACGGCGGTACCGAACGGTAGACCGGGTGGGAGCCTCCGGCCCGCCGTACTCGGAGCAGACTGACCGGGTCACAGAGTCACTGGTGGTATCCGGCAAATCAAACACAAGCAAAATTTTACTCATAATGAATATAAACCATGCTTCCCTCAGAACTATGAATAAGGCACTACAAGAGGCATCACATTATATCTACCTCGTGTATTACCTGAGGTGTTGCGAGGCAGCTGGCCGGGAACAAACCTGCAGCAAAGTCGACACCTCACCCTCCATGAATCATGTGATGATACCACCCCCATTGATAACCTTCACTACCCCATATAATGAGACCAAAGCTACCACCCCCACCCCCATATCGTTTCTTACCTCCACTCGCAGCGGCGGGGATGCTGATGCAATGTCAAGTGTGCCAGGTAAGGCCATGGGCAGGCGACAGGAGCAATGCTCCTCCTGTCCTCACAAGATCATGCAGATGAAGCTCGAGCATGGCTCTAGCAAAACTTCGAGATGCGTGAGATGGCATCCTCCCTTGTGCATAGGAGATCTGACTGAGTTGTTTTGTGGTCACTCTCACTGATTGGAAATTCGGCTCAAAAAGGCGGTGAATCCTCTCGAGCGAGCAGCTCACTGACAACAAACGCTAGACTGACATGTTCTGCTGTCTTTGTTGATATCGCAATGGTTTGATGGGCTTGTGACATGGAATATCAGCGGGTAAGCTTTTTCTTGAGAGGGGAGAAGGCTATGTAGAAAAAGAACTGACAAAAAGCATCCCTCTTCCTCTCCCTCTTCCTCTCTCTCCCGTCCTCCATCCCTCCCTCCGCGATTTGAACTACGTTTGTCACCGTACGGCACGAATGATGCGACGCGGGCTGATAGCGTGTACGTATCCTCTACTGCCAAGAAGGAATGTGTGCAACTGACGTAAGCTTTTGTCGATTATTGCTTCGTTTGCGCTTGAATCGTATCGATGTGTGCGTACTTCGACGGCATCTGGAATACGGGAGAATAGATTGTGAGTATTTTTGAAAGAGAGTTTGAGGGTGGAGGAGAGGAGGGAAGGTGGGGACTGATGGAAGTTTGTTCTATTCGTTCTTGTTCGCTCGTCTGCGTATGCCTGCACCTGGACTGAACAATTTTACGCGTGTGGGAGACAGTATGTAAGTACTTGAAAGTTACACGAGGAGAGGAACTGACAGGATCTTGAACATAGTACGTACGTACCTTCTATTTCGAGGAAGGCGGAAGAATTTCAGGAGAAGGCTGACTGATTATGGTTTTTGGAATTTTCTGTGCATGAATGCAAAATCTGCTCTTGTGCTCTTGTGCGGGCTTGGACGGGATGATGATCATGTTGGGAACGACAGCGGGTGAGTGTTGCTTTCCTTCAGCAATGCAGAGTCAATGGTCAATGTTTTGGAAATGGGGTCTGACGGAGCTTTTTGTTCCTTTCTATGTGAATGTTGGCAAACAATATTGCTGGTGATGTGGACGGAACTACTGTCGGGACGCGGGACCGCAGCGGGTGAGCCGTGTTTAGGAGGGGCGTGGGAGAGGGAGGAGGCGGGGGAAGGTAGGAACTGACACTGCTTCCGTGCCTTTCCCTGTTTGGTGCCGCTCTTGAATATGCGTGTGTATTCGACGTCGGATTACGGGACTTTGAGTATAGGAGGTGAGTAGCTTCCATCTGGGAGAGCGGTGGAGTGTGAGAGAAAGCGGGGGAACTGATGAAAGCTTGCTTTTCTTTGGTGCACTTGAATGTTGCTTGGCGGTTGTACCTCGACGGGTTTTTGGCGGACACGCGGGGATTCAGCATGTAAGATTTTACTCTTGGAGGGTGACAGAGATAGTTGAGGGAAAGAGATGCGACATGGGTCTGACCAATCTGTTGCTTGGCTTTTCCCGACGCGTTCTCCACATTCGTGTTCTTGTGTTGACTACAATTGGACGGGAAAGATTGTACGTATCTTCTTTCTTGAGAGATGAGCGAAGGGAGGAGACTGACAGGATTTTATTCACGATGTTACAAACTTGGGGGGACATGCTGGACATTAGCGGGTGAGGTTTGTCTTGTTCAAGAGGAGAGACTTGGGAGAAAAGCAGTATGAAGGGGACTGACGGAAATGTTTCACTACGCCGTCGATGTACTTCGCGCGGGACGATGGACGGAATGGGGGATATATGAGGATAGCTTGTGCGTAACTTTGCTAGTGGAGGGAGGAGAAGGGAGATTGAAGTAAGAACTGACGAAATTTTCCACATGGCTTGTTCTCCTCGTTGGCGTGTTTTGCGGTGCTTGGATGGGACGACGTCCTGGACGCGGGGAGACAGGTCGTATGTACCTTCCGTTTGAGGGTGATGAAACTGACTGAAGTTTCCTTTTTCTACGTGAATCAATGTGGTTTCACATTTGCTGCTGCGACGGGGACGGCGATCGGGTTGGGGAATGCGGGAGGGCAGATTATTGTGAGTATTCGCTTTGTCTGAAATCTAGTTAGATTTTATCTATCACGAACACCAGGGTTGCCCAAGCAGATGCTCTCAAGTACAACTATCCCTAAGCTATCGTGCAGACCATTAGCAGCAGAGACATCTCTCTTTTCTTTGTATGACCAAAGGCAGGCAGGGAGGGAGGGAGGGAGGCAGCGAGTCACACATAGGCAACGACAGAGAAAGAGAGAAGGAAAGTGAGATGAGATGTAAGGGCGAGAGATAGGAAAGATACTGACATGAGGAGGCTGACGGAAGCTTGGTTTTCTTTGACATATACTTGTACTTGGTGTTCGTCGAACGCGGGAAACTGGTTGACAGTCGGTACGCATTTTCTCTTTTCTGAGGCACATGGAAAGCATAGGGGCTGACGGACGTTTGCTGCTATTTCCTGGTGTGCACTGCGTGCTGGGGGGATGGATTGGACTGTGGACATGGGGAAATGAATAGCCGGTAGGAATATTCTGTACTTACATTGGGGAGCTTGTCTTTCTTCACTGAGCCGCTCACTTGAACTTGTATATGATTTGACTGATGACGATCGTGGTGGCGACGCTGGAGGACAGGGAGTGAGTAATTTCAGAGGGTGGTGCTTTGAGGGAGGAATGAGACTGACTGAATATTGTTCTTTTCATGTGAAAACTTCCTAAAATGCAATGCTGCTTGTGGCTTGATGATTCGAATTTGAGAACAGAAGGTGAGCTTCTTTTTCTTCAGCGGGGAGGACGGAGAACACGTAAGGGAGGGTAGGGGACTGACAGAGCCTTCTTTTTCATTTCTGGACGCAAACTTTGCTCTTTGTGACGTAATCATGCCACAATCGGGTTGCGAGGGGACAGATTGTACGTAATTTTGTTGATGCGAGACGCTGAGCGAATGGGAAGCTAACTCGAATTTTGTTTCGCACTCACCTTCATGGTAATTTGTCTCTTCAGTGCTGCGTAAGTTACTGCATTTTTCCACCTTAATTGCTCTGCTGACCCCCTGTTAGAATGTAGGTTCACATCACCTTGAATGCTCATTTGCCGGCGTAAATATGAATTTGCATTTGTGACATACAGTGTGCCAAGTATCAGTCATGGACGGGCTACATCAAGGTAATTGAGCAGTCAGATCACCAAAAGTTTTGATGAGGCTCATGGTCGTTCTGCAGGACGGATGCATTCAATGCAAGCAAAGGCTCAAGCAGAGAGAGCAAGTGACCAAAGGCCACCAACAAAGCATACAAGAGTCTGACAAATACAGCAGGCGATGTTTAGTCCGATCCAGCAGCAGAAAGTGACCCAGCTGAAGGAGCAAGCAGATCCAACGGGGAGGAAGAGATCGTTTGAAGGTTTACAAGGGGGGAAAGCAAAACAACAACGTCTCGACCATGGGGATAGCTGGAGCACGCTACAATGCGCAGTAAAAGTAGCCGAACAGAATGCTACAATGGAGACACACACAATTTCGCTGCATTTCCTATCAGAAAAAATGTCCAGTCCAGAGCTTACTATGGGTGAAGAAGGATACAACCTTCTGTTGGATTTGTTGGAAATAATTGAAGGCGAAGGACACAAGGCGTATAACCGTGTGAATAAGGCCTGGATGGAGGTGAGGGCATTGGGCAACGATCTTGCATGTATACAAGATGAACTGTTGGAAATAGCGTTGAACAAAGACGCAGCAGATGGCAGAGAACCAAGTGATAAGCACATCTCGATTGACTTTCATGTCAAAATATTCAGTCGGGACAAGGTTCGGAAAGATTTGCGCAATGCGAGTCAGATTCTGGTTTCTACCCTTGAAGGTGGCAATGCAACTCGATTGATGGAGTACCAGCGAGCATTGGATAGCTCTGCAAAAGCCTTGGCGACTTTCTTGGAGCGCTGGGAGGAGGACGCACAAAGGTTGCAGATGCATCAAGAAAAAGAAAACTCGAACCCCACACTTGTATGCTTCAACGCTACTGAAGATCCTACCGCTCAGTTCAGAGAAACGATATTGGCAGTGTCAAAATGGGTGAATGAGATTGGAGAGAAGTTGTCATCTACAGAAAAAAGGAGGAAGGAGGTTGCAAGAAGCTATGCTGCAAGTCTACGACAGCTTGCATTTATCCTGGAAGAGAGCAGTCTGGACCACAGCACAAGCGCCACCAACACTATGTCGGCTGATCTTCAGGGGAACCACGTGGCACTTGAGGCGGCAATTGCAGATGAGAAGGAGATCTTGACCGACAGCTCTTTGGTGAAAAGGTTCCCATTTGACACGTTGCTTTCTGCGTTGAGGAATGGCTTACGTTGGACAAAAACCACTTCGTTCATATCCGAGCAGCTGGTAGATGTGAGACGATTCCAAGCAGATTTACAGACATTGAGAAACCTCGCAGACCCTGAGCGCCTGCTTGATGCTCGTAAAGAATTGAAGGACAAGCAGATTTATGACATGATGTGCAAAGAGATAGATCTTAAATCTGAAATGGATAAGTCCAAGTTGAAGAAGCAACCAACACAAGAAATTGAAAAGGAGCTAGCTGAAGTCAGGGAGCAGATCAGATCTGCTGTCAAGGAACTTGAAGGGATTGACGGAAAGCTTTGGAGTCTTATCAGTCACTTTCCTGAACACGCTGGCAAAATGAAAGATATCCTGGAGGAGCAGGGGGTGGGGAGCGGAGACCTTCCGATATGCCACGAGAGGATCGACATGTTCCAAGTGATGGAACGAGTGGCACAGGTGGGATGCAGGGGGGCCCGACACAACGTCATACGAGTGAGTGATGGTCACGAAGAGTACATAATCAAGGAATACGGCCTCTCAGACAGCGAAAAGGAAAGAAAATGCTTCTTACGAGAAGCCAGAATCCTGCGTCGTCTGGAACACCCGTACATCGTGAAGCTGAGCAGTGCTTTCATCGAGGCAAAGCATGAGCATGGGACAGTCATGAAGGGATACCTGAAGATGCCCGTTGCCATCGGAGGAACGCTGTGGAGCTGGATGCAGCAAGTGAAGCCGAGCGACCAGCAGAAGCACCGAGTGCTGATGCAGATTCTTCAAGGGCTAGAGCACCTGCGTCAAAATAGGATCGTGCACTGCGATATCAAGCCAGCAAACATCTTGATGTCGTCACAGAACGAGCATGCCTTGCCGCAGATAGCAGACTTTGACGTTTCTAAGGAGCAAGAGGATCGTGCAAGGGAGTTGGCAGCTACTGTGACCGCTACCATAGCTGTAGGGACACTTGCCTACATGGCTCCGGAGCTGATCAATATGCATTCAAGGCAGGGGAGAGTCTCGCACAAGTCAGACATGTACTCGTATGGGGTTTTGATGCTTGAGTTCCTGACTGAGTCTCCATCGCGAGGGATCCAAGGAGATGACACCCCGCGGCTGCTAGATCAACTGCAGCAATATGCAAAAGATCTCATTTCTCAGCTGATCATTCCCGATCCCAACAATCGACTGTCATCCATCCAAGCTCTGACTCATCCTTACTTCAGCCAAGCCATGCTTGTAGTGCAAGATCAGTTCAACAGGGAAATATGCACAGTATTCAACCCTCCTGCCTTCTGGCAGTGCGTCACGACGAGAGTGAAGATCAACGTCACTGCCGAATGGAAAGAAAGGATACAAGAGCTTATGACGTCGACGTGCAAACAGCAGTACCTTGGGCAAAGAAGGCAAGGCAAAGGCTTGAACTACACAGGCTTCCAGGTAGAGCGAGTCTTCCGTGTAGAGAATCAGGACCTGTGGTCGGGGTATGCCCAGGAGCGCTCCCGCATCATGCAGCAAGGAACACGTCATCCAGAGACTCAAGTGAGCACGTGGCGAGACTGGATGGAAGACGAACTTCTGGTGGACAAGGCGAGCAACGAAGTGTTTCTGTTTCATGGCACCAGCTTCAACATGGCTGACGTCATCTTGACGTCTGGATTCGACGAGCGTGTGTGCAACCTGAATGGACTCTTCGGAGCTGGAATCTACCTGGCCGAGAACTCCAGCAAGAGCGACGAATACTGCGTGCCGGACAGCCAAGGCATCTGCCGCATGTTCCTCGTACGTTCTGCGCTTGGAACACCGTTTGTAGCTCAGAGATCCATGCAACGGGCTAGAAGGCCTCCTACGAACTCCACTGGGTTCTTATATGACTCTGTGATCGGGGTGACCAAAGAAACACATCCAGCAGCCCTTTTGGAGTGGTACAGGGAGTTCATAGTGTACTACCGTCGACAGACCTACCCGGAGTTTCTGATAGAGTTCAAACGCGTGTAAGGCAGGCGGCCGCCGGGTCGTGCAGGTGCAGCCTACATCTCAGTCAAGTTTTAGACATCCAATCTGAAACTCTTTCTCAGGTTTGGCGTTGTGACCGCCGCCGCGGGGGCACGACCGTCCGACTAGCCTAGTGACCTTCAACTACCGTCACTAATAAATACCGTCGATGCTACCGTCGGGTATCTATGTCCGTACTGGCAGTCGGTATCATTGTACCGTGCCACGGATGACTCAGCGGCAAGCCGCCACTCAGTGTGGCAGCGGGTCAGCTGGCCAGTGAATAAACGATGTCGTGCGGCTAGAACCGTAGGCTTCTACTAGAGTCGTCACGTTGAACAGTTCTGTTCGGAAGGTTGAAAGTTAGTTCCGGGCCGGACCGTACTGTCGGACGGTCACGGCGGCGCCGATGACGGCGAACTTGGTGACCCCGGGCCGCGCTGCACGCCCGGCGCCGGTGTTCGTTACTCACCACCTCAGTACAGTGAATAACCGTTTCTCAACTGCCAGTAGCACCACCCCTACCTGCCAACCCACCCTCTTGGTTACGAACTTTTCGTCATGCACCACCCCCTTTTGAAATCTCATGACCCCCTTGATACACCTCTCTCACCTCACCCCTCTATTTAGATGATATCTTGAACCACCCTCTCTTGTCTCAACATTTAGAGGATCTATACTTGGTGGGGTGATGTACCCTACCCAGGATGGAGAAGGCTTTACCCTTTCCTTCCCTTTGTCCTTTCCATGGCCCCCAATGGGGGTGGGGGTTGAGCAAAGGGGGGTGGTTTCCTGAAATCCCTAGGGTAGGGTTCTGAGATGAAAAAGAGGGGTGATGGGGGTAGACGAGGGGTGGTTGGTTGGGGAGGTTTTTACGATTTACTGGTTTAGATTTGAGTGGGGTAGGGGTGGAGGGGTGGTCAGGTATCAGGCCCCTGCAAACAACGGGGTGGTCAAGATTCAGTCAGGGGTGAAATTCATTTGGAGGAAGGGGTACACCTGATTGATGAGTAGGTAGGGGTAGTCCTGACACGGGTATGGATTTAAGAATTCTCAACAGGGTGGTCATTTAGTTAGAGAAACAGGGGTACCATGATTGTAGTATTTCGGGCTTGGATGAATTTAGAGGGTGGGGTTGAAAAAAGGGGGGTAGATGATAGACCAGTGGGGTAGAGAAACTTGGATGTGGGGTAGGGGTAGTAATCAACGGGTGATTGATCGGACGCTATGGTGGAGCGGAAAGTGAAGGCGGCGGGCAGGAAGGAGGAGATGGAGAGTGACATGGAAGAAGAGGGAGGAGAATGAAGATGCGATGACATCTTTGATGGATGAGAGTGTGTCCCGAGATGGCACATGACCTGATTGAGCGGATAGCAGAGGAGCAACGCAGAGAACTGCAGTTACAGAATCGCAGTAACGAGGCCCGTGTTGCCGAAGTTCTGAGTGAAAGAGTAGGAATGAGACAGGCTAATAGAGCTCAGAGATAATATAGTTCCTGCTCTAGATTGTAAATCAATGATGGTTTGCGATTCATTTTTCGTTAACTCACGCAGTTCCATGTACAGGTCCGGAATGTACCAGCTCCAGGGTCTCGGTGTCGTTAAGTGTGAAGATTGAGCCTATTCGTCGCTTCATGCACCAGCACACATTCAACTTCTCGTGCTTGCCTGCCTGAATCCAAGTATTCCGGTCGATTGTGGGGAAATCATGCTCTATCGGCGTTCGTACATGATGGAAGGGAGAGAGGTTGGCGGGAACATGCCCACCAGCCAGCACTTTCAAGTTTTGAAGTCATAGTGTGATGTTATACCTCCTGGTTAGATCTTTGTGATGGACAACAGAAAAAGTTTCGTTGTGATGAGAATGCGGGTGAATGGTTGAGATAACTACTTCGAAGCCGAAGCAATCTGCTTTTTCGAGTATGCACCGCTATCAGATAGCAAAGCGTCTTGGAGATGGGACATACGGAGAAGTTGTTCGAGCCATCAACAAACAGGTTGCTAATGATAGGGTTCGCTGCCACGTAATCTGCTTAACGTCTTGTGCGTCAGTCTGGCGAAGTCGTGGCTGTCAAGCGGATGAAGAAAAAGTATTACAGTTGGGACGTACGTGAGAAGAAAGACCCACGTGCACGTCTAACATCATGTGCAGGAATGCATTGCTCTCCGTGAAGTTCAATCTCTGAGAAAACTTCGTCATCCCAACATTGTCAAGTTGAAAGAGATCATCAGAGAGAATGACCGCTTGGTTTGTGACCTGGTCCTTGACTCTTGTGTGTTGAAGCATCTCTCTGCAGCATATGGTGTTCGAGCACATGGATTGCAATCTCTACGAGTTGACGAAGAACAGACGGAAGGTGAAGTACATTCACAAAGAGACGTACATACAAACACACATACAGACATAGCCCACAGCTCGGGTGTGATAGTTTTTGTTGTATTGTAACTTCGACACCGCAGCATTTGCCGGAATCAAACATCAAGAATCATATGTTCCAGATTCTGCAGGTTGGCATTCCTCTGCGTACTCAATCTTCCGCCTCCTGCTCGTGCCCCCACTCATGCCTTCTCGTCGCCTGACATGTAATTTAGGGGCTGGCTTTCATGCACAAGAATGGATATTTTCATCGAGATATGAAGGTGTTCAAAATTATTCCTCATCCTTTTCTTCTTGCCATCATTCCAAAGCTCTGTTCGTCTTCCTCCCATCATTCTCGTGTCTACTCGTTCTTGTACTCCTCTGACTCAAGTGTCCGCCCGCACCCGAACCTTTTAGAATTACGCTTGTTCATCACTCGTTCCCTCCCTCTCTCCATATACAAACAATGCCCTCCTACTTCGATTGTCTCTGATGTTTTATTCAGCCGGAGAACATTCTGGTCCTCAACGACGTCACCAAGATCGCGGACTTCGGTCTTGCCAAGGAGATCAACGCTCGTCTCCCGTACACGGAGTACATATCAACCAGATGGTAAAATCTTGCCAACTTGTTTCCTTAGATGCGAACTTGCAGTGTCACTGTCGTTGAGGTGTTGACTATGTGTCGGGCACATTTCTTGTTGAGAATCTTGTGTTTGTAAGAGAGGACTGGAATCTTCATCCTTGCTGCCTTTTTGATTTTCTCTTCAAGGTACCGAGCTCCCGAAGTTCTTCTCCGCTCAAGGAACTACAATGCTCCTGTCGATGTGTTCGCCGTCGGGTGCATCATGGCGGAGGTGAAGTGACATTGTGCAGTGTCCTCCTCTTCCCTCTCTTGCAGCTTGCAGCTTCCTCGTCGTCCACCTGACTCGTGTCCGTCGTTTGCAGTTGTACATGCTGAGGCCGCTCTTTCCGGGAAGTAGCGAGAGCGATATGATTAACAAGGTGAGGGTTGTCAAGATTTCAGTCAGCCTGTTTCAAGCTTGTTCCTCCCCTGCCTCCCTTCTCAACTCTAGACCCTCAGGTCTGCCAAGTGCTCGGCACCCCGACCATGGAGATCTGGCCGGAAGGATTCAAGGTTGGTGGCCTTGAGTGGTGTCGAAGGGAGGAAAGTGCTGGAGACAATACAAGGAGATGACGAACTTTGTCTGTCTCTGCCTTTCTCTCTATCTTTGTCTCTGTATGTTGTTTCTGTCTGTCTATTTTCTCCGTCCAAGTTCTTCTCCATCTCTCTTATTTTCTGCTCGTCAGCTCGCAACAGCTCGTCGCGTCAAGTTTCCTGAGTTCGCCAAGATACCGTTGCAGAACATCATGCCGCATGCCTCCAAGGTTCACCTGCTCCTGCTCTACCTGCTCCTCTCCAAGCGGCTCCCCTTGTTTGATCCTTGCTCCTCACAGGAAGGCATTGATATAATGGACGCGATGATGATGTGGAACCCCAAGACTCGAGTGACAGCTGCTGGATGCCTGGGTGACCAGATTAGCCGTTCTCCTCCTCCTCCTCCTCCTCCTCCTCCTCCTCCTCCTCCTCCTCCTCCTCCTCCTCCTCCTCCTCCTCCTCCTCCTTCATCCCCCTTCCCCCCCTTGCTTACACCAGCTCCTTGCTCGCTCCACGGTCATCCATCGTCTCTTCTACTCCATCGCCTCTCCTTGTCATGCCTTGCCCTCCCCTTCCCCTTCATGTCTTTTTTTTTTAAATCGATTCTTCGTGTACCTTTCCATCACCTTGTCTGTCCTTTGTATTTCTGCGTTGGCTGGTCGATGACTGTCCTTGTACCAGAGCACAAATATTTCGATGAAGAGAAGGTGAAGCAGGAGGCAAAGATGAAGGACAAGGAGCTGAGCATGGAGAGAGCGAAGGAGAAGATGAAGGAACAGGAGAAGATCAAAGAAAATGACAAGAAAGACTCGGACAGACTGAGAGAACATGAGAAGAAGGAAAGCGACAAGTCGAAGGATCACGATAAGTCGAAGAAAGACAGGGATAGGTACTTACAGGAGGATTCGAAGTCGAGAAATTCGTCGAGCCTGTCGGCTGTCAAGGGAGATCAAAGTCTGTTGAGCTTCTCGAAGAAGTACAAGAACGTCGACACGACCGAGAGCAACACAAGCCTCTCACTCAACAGGAGCGAGAAAGCTTCGTTGAGGCACCACAACAGCAACAGGAAGGAGAGCATCGAGTCGACAAGCTCATCGATCAGAAATGAATCAGCGCTCAAGTCGGGAGAGCTGTCTTTGAATCATGTGAGCCCTTCCTTCTCACATCTTGTCCTTTCCCCTGCCTCACTGCTTCCTCCAGACAAAGAAATCTTTCGGCGATGAGACAACTAAGTTGTCCTCTCTGCCCTCTCTAACCAGGTTCTCCTCATCCCTCCACTCATCTCCATCTTTCCTTCTTCTCCTCCTGCTTCTGTCTGTGCTCTTCCCATGCACTTGCTTCTTCCCTGAGCTCGTCTCGTCCCCCTCCTTCCTCCTCTTCCTCTTCGCCCTCCTCTGACATGTGGAATCATTTAGCAGCTCGAAAACAAATCGAGACGAAGCAAGCAATATAGCAGGAAGTTCGCAGATACCTGGGTGATAACTGCCTGCCCTCGCCTCCCTCCTCCTTTCTTTTCTCCTCCTCTCCTTTCTCCTTCCTCTCTCTCTACCCGTGTTTCCTCTCTTTGTTCTCTCTCTACCCGTGTTTCCTCTCCTTCCTCTCTCTCTACCCGTGTTTCCTCTCTTTGTTCTCTCTCTACCCTGTTTCCTCTTCGTCTGATCGCTTCCTTTTACAGCATCAAGTCACTAGCAAAGGATAAATTTCCTGAGGGCAAAGTTCGACATCATCACCAGTCAGTCACCTCCCTCGTTTTCCTCTTCTCTTCCGCCACCACTACCTCCTCCTCCCTCCTTCCTCCTCCTCCCTCCTTTCCCTCCTCCTCCCTCCTTCCTCCTCCTCCCTCCTTTCCCTCCTCCCCCCTCCTTTCCCTCCTCCCCCCTCCAATCTTTCCTAACTCGCTTGCAGCCATCTGCCTGAAGTCTCGGAGTCAGCAGATTCAGACTTCAAGTTGCTTGGCATGGAGCGATGGAGGAACGACTCGAGCTACATGAGCACAGATAGGATAGGGAGGAAGAAGTTGGGAAGGGATAAGAAAAGGACCACGGAGTTGGAGGAGGAAGACGCAAAGAGCCTCTACCAGAGGAGCCGCGATGTACATCTCCTACCTCCATCCTACCTCCTCCCATCCCCCCTCTCCTCCCCTGCCGTTCCTCCTTGATCGAATATCAGATCTCCTTCAACGCTACTCCTCTCCCCCCCTTTGATCCTCCTACACCTCATGATGACCTGCAGGATCTGCGAGAGATCAATCGCGCTCGTGCCCTTCGACAAGTTCCTCTGGTGATTCCTTCTGCCCTCCCCTCTCTTCCCCTCCCCTCTCCTCTCCTCTCCTCTCCTCTCCTCTCCTCTCCTCTCCTCTCCTCTCCTCTCCTCTCCTCTCCTCTCTCGTTGTCTGCTAATGCTTGTACTTGCAGCTTATGGGATCACAAGAAGGCAGCAGAGCTCTGCCTCTGGTGGACCAGGAGGGCAGCAAGTTCTCTAACGGCTTTCAAGGTGTTCGCTCCTCCTTCCCGCTGCTTCTCCTCCTCTGACTCCCTGTACAGGACGAGAAGCGATTGGTAGGAGGTGAGAACCCCGCTTGCTCTGGCTCCTCGTCCTCGTCCTCGTCCTCGTCCTCCTCGTCCTCGTCCTCCTCGTCCTCATCCTCCTCCCTGTTGTTCTCTCCCGCTCTCCTAGCTTCTTCCCTTCCTACTTATCCTCATACCCGCTGGTCGCAGGTACTTCGGTGCCTACATGGACAGTCGCTCCTCCATGTTCCCTGCTGTCGGCATGATGGCGAAGAGGCAGCAGCCAGCAGCAGTCGCGCGGGCCCTCGGCATGCAGCAGGGCGGCATGCAGGTTGAGGAGGTTGAGGAAGAGGAAGGGGGAGGGAGAGAGGGAGGGAGGGAAGAGGAGGAGGAGGAAGAGCGCGGGTCGAGATTGTCTGACAGTCATGCAGGTCAGCTCGAGCATGAGAAGCGACGCGGTGAGTGGGTTGACTGACGCCTAGCAAGCGAGTGATCCTTTGCTCAGAACTCCATGGATGTCCTGGGACGGCGAAGATTTTGAGAAGGAGGAAGAGGAGGAGGAGGAGGAGGAGGTGTAGACTAGATGTAAGTGAAAGTGAAGTTGAAGTTAATCTTTCTCATCTGCTTCTGCTTCTCCACCTTGCTGACGCGTCCTCGCTTCTCTCGTTGCTGCTCTCCTCCTTCCCCCACCATCATCTCGACCTGGCGGGCTCGTCGCCTTCACCTGCAGCTCGTCGTCCTCCTCCGTCGCCTCCTTCGCGCGCATGAACCTCCTCCTCCTCGCCTCCTGCATGCCCAGCTGCTTCCCCTGCTCCTTCCTCGGGGCTCGAGGGATCGCCGGCAGACTCTCAGCAACGGTGAGCTGCAGGTCCAGCTTCTGGAGGTCGCGCAGAGGAGGAGGAAGAGGAACGACCCACATGTCTCGTCCCACCAGCCTCATCCTGCCCAGCCGCAGCTGGACTGGGTGGTGGAACTTGCTGAGCATCTTCTCCCTGACTGACCGGAAGCCGTTCCATGCAGCCTCCTCGATCTTGCAGAGGCTGATGAAGCCGAGGGCCGGGTCCAGGAAGGACAGCATGGGCGCGTGGGCACCTGCGGAGAAGTCGAGAATGAGTTTCTTCCAGGGGATGGAGGCGAGGGGGGCTGCTCCTGTCTTGTCTTGCTTGAGCAGAACGATCTCATCCTTGGTGTGACTGTACGCCAAGAAATCGAAGGGGGCCTGCATGCTCCTCCTCGGAGAGTTCAAGGGAGACAACAAGGGAGGAGGAGCAGGAGGAGCAGGAGGAGCAGGAGGAGCAGAAGCATCATCGCCGTCAGTACTTCTTTGCATTTCCTTCATCTGCTGCATCCTGAAATATTCTCTGAAAGCGTGTTGAGACAGAACCTTGGATCGCCGCATGAGAGCGGAATGACTCATCAGCTGCCGGTACGAGGCATCGACTCGCCTCCTGACCCTGTTCTCCTCCCCTTCCTGAGCTTCTTGATGGTGATGATGATGATGATGGCGGTGGTGGTGGTGGTGGTGGTGGTGGTGGTGATGATGTCTGCCTTTGATCGACATCTGATCCTCTGAAGCTTTGTTTGAGTGCTTGACCCTCGTTTCCCTCCTGTACGTGAACTTCTGGTAGTCCAACTCGAAGTCGACCGCTTCTCCTTCCCCCTCCAGCTCCTCCAGCTCCTCCTGCTCCTCCTGCTCCCCCTCCTGCTGCTCCTGCTCCTCCCCTCCGTCCCAACTCTGACTAGAACTCCCCTCCTCAGACTGTAGAGAGACTCCATCAGAGGACATGTCCCCGCTCTCGCTCTCGCTCTCGCTCTCCTCACCTTTCCCCTCCTCCTCCCCCTCCTCCTCTCGCAGGAAATGATCTCGAGACGCGTCTGAGCCGCTGCTGTCGGAACTCAGCAGCCGATGGGAGGAGGAGCCGGCAAGGGAGCCCTCCCGCAGGAGGGAGACCTTGCTCTTGGACTGCATCGACTCCCACGAGGGCTGACTGAGAGACTTTTGGTTCCTCGGCCTCCTCTTCCCAGACGTCAACGAGAACGAGTCCTCTCCCCTCGGTGACGTCACTGACCCAGCGATCAAGGCGAACTCGTTCTGCTCCCAGTGAGTTCCGTCGGCCGGCAGCGACGGCCCGTCGAGGTCGACGAGCCGCCGGGAGATCTCCGAGTCGTCCAGAACGCTCAACTGACTTGACTCATGGGAGAACACCATGATAGGAGACAGCTCTCCCTCCCCCTCCTGCTCTCCCTCCCCCTCCTGCTCTCCCTCCCCCTCCTGCTCCTCCTGCTCCACCTCATCCCCCGCGGCATTAACGGAGGTCAAGGATCTCGTCCCTGCCTCGCTCCCGCTCCCGCTGCGAGCAAGGCTCTCCTGGAGGGATTGCTCTAGCTGGATGCCAGCTGGAAAAAAGGGCAGCTGAGAACCTCCTCCATCCTCGCCCAGCTGGAGTTGCCCAACGTCCAAGGGAGGAACAACTCGATCTGTCGGTGTGGCGGCAGTACCAGAAACTTCAGCCTCGTCCTCGTCTCCTCCCTGACCCTCCAGCATGTCGAGCGCTTTTGATGTCTCCCCCTTCTCCCCCTCCTGCTCCCCCACATCCTTTCCCTCCTCCTTCTTGTCCTCCTGCTCCTGCTCCTCCTCTTCCTCCTCCTCAACCATCCCTGTGATCCAGAAAGTCGAAGTCTGATTCGACTCCGCTCCTCCCCCACCCTCCTTCCGCGGGGATCCCCTTCCCTCCACCCGCACCCCTGTTGCATCCTCTTCTTCCTCCTCCTCCGCCTCCTCCACCTCCCGAGGACTGGCTGGTGTACCCGGATCGATAGGAGGGGCAGGACAGCTCAACGTCGACTCCCTTGAAACGTCTTCCTGGACAGCAGCGGCAGCGGCAGCAGTTTCCTCCCCCTCCTCAGGAGCAGCCTGACCGTCTGAGGGAACCTCTGCTCCTGGTGACGGGACCTCATCCTCCGTCTCGGTCCTCTCTTGCAGCACACTCGACTCTGCTCCTCCCTCCTGCTCCTCCTCAGGCTCTTCGATACCTTCCCGCTCCCTGCTGTCGCTGGGGGGCAGAGGAGGCTGCAATTTACTCTCTTCCCTCTGCCTCTTCCACTCCTCGACCTGCAGCTCCTGGAGTCTTCTCAGCTCGGCGAGGGTCGCATCTCGCTCCTTGAGGTCTTCAGTCTGGAAGAAGGTCTGGATCAGGCCTAGCATCTGCTTCTGGACCCGCTCGTCAAGTTCGTTGTGGGAGTGCTGGACAAACTGCTGGAACTTGTGGACCTCGTCGTTCTGAGCCCGCGTCCTCTTCCCTATTACCTCGCTGCTGATCTTGTCCAAGATCATCTGCTTCCTCTGCTCCAGCTTGTCGGTAGCCTCCCCAGCCTCCTTGAGGAAGAGGATCAGCTTCGAGACGAACGCTCCCGTGTCCATGCGCTTGTGGAACTCCTCAAGGGTGAGGAAATAGTTGTAGAGCTCGAACGTGAAGGTTTCAAGCTGCCTCTGCGACTTGAGCTTGAGGAGGAAGGGTTCCAGGTAGAACTCCACGGGCTTGTACTTGTGCTTCTTGTCCATGGACTTCTTGTGGATCAGCCACTTGAGCAGGATCGTTCCCTTGGTGTTGGTCGCTTCCTCCTCTCCGATAAGACATCTTTTCTTCAGCTGCTCGATCTCAGACGTCACGTTTTCAATCATCGCCGCCTCCTTCTCCTTCCTGATCAAGAACTGGATGCTGGCCTTGAACTTGTTGAGCAGGAAGGAGGAGATCTCTTTGTTGTCGAACAGTCCTCGCAGGCTGCCAGCACCAGTCACTTCCTCTGCTCTAGCCATCAACATCTACCTCTTGTACGTCGACACCATCTCTTGCGTCGTGTCTGGCTGGCAGACTTTCGGATCCTCTCGACAGCAGAACGCGTCCACGAGCTTCATGCCGTTCTCAAGCATCGCCATCTCCTTCTGCATCTGCTGTAGCTGCTCCTGCTCCACCTCAGGGTCCGCCTGACGTACTTGCTGCATGTTCTCCTGATGGCGTTGCAGGAACATCTGGATGTACTCCTCCTCCTCCTTTTTCCTCTTCAGGTTCTGCAAGTGTCTCGATTTCACCACGAAGCTCCATCGCCTTATCAACCCGGAGAGCCAGTTGAGCTGGTAGAGGAACTCGCACTGGTACCTCGTCCAGAACTGAAGCCCGTCGCCTACCTCCTCTGAGATCGACCTGCTCGCTATCATCGCGATCGCCTTGCATGCCTCGCTCTTCGGCAGCCCCAGGTTCCACAAGATTCTCGTGGCTGCTGCCATCGCCGGCACGTCGAGGGCAGAGGGTGACGGGACCTCAGCGGCTCCCTCGTCCACCTCCTCACACTCCACCCCGACGATGAGCGTCGCTCCGATGTACTTGCCTCCCGGGCCCTTGAGACTCTTCGCCACCTGCTGCTGTGAGCTTGTGATGATGTCGGTCAGCTTCAAGTCAGCCCACGCGAGGATCGTCTCCTTCTCCTTGTCCTCCTGCCCTCTCTCCACCAGCTGCTCCAGCACGTCAGACCATCACCACAGCCCAGCACGTTTCCCAGCTCATCTCTCACCAGCACTCGCAGGTAGGAGGAAGGACGCTTGATCATGAGCGACAGGTCCTCGTCCAGCCAGGCGCTGCCGGTCAAACTTCGGTTGGTCAACCTGATCTTGTAGTTCTCAACCACGATGTGACACTCGGGGTCGTTGTGCGGAGACAGCTCGGAGAAGGTCATGTCCTTGAGCTCTACGTTCAAGATGCGGACCACGGCAGGAAGTTTCAGGGGCAAGTTCAGCTCTCTGATCCTCCTCCTCATCGCCATCTCCTCTCGCAGACCTCTCACCATCCCCGTGGTGATGACAATGTCCTTGCTAACCAGGGACTCGAACCAGCTGCTCGCAGCTAGCGCGATCACCCGACGGAACTCCGCGCGAGGGTTCACCTTTAGCTTCATCGAAGAGGCGTTGCGAGTCTGCATCAAATTTGTCAGCGCCAGCCTCTTCCTCTCAAGTCACGTCCGTACGAGTTGAAACTCGTTCTTGTCCTCCGCCGGTCTGCAGGAGCTGAGGATCTGCAAGAGCGTCAGGAAGCGAGCTCAAGGCTCCTCTCATGCATGTACCGCAGTCACGACTGCGCTGATCTCCGCCAGGCACTTCATCTTAGTCTGCTGGTCCAGCTCCACGTTCCCCTCCAGCAGATCAATCTGCAAATCCCGTCACCACCTCGAGGTACCGACTGCTGCCTCTGACTTACCATCGCCTCCCCTCACTCAAGGAGACTTCAACACCAGGAGCTAAGGGTAGACCAACACCAGGAGCTAAGGGTAGACCAACACCAGGAGCTAAGGGTAGAGCACGTATCTCTCCCCGTTACTCTCACTCCCTCCTGCCCCCTTCACTCATAGCACCAGCTCAGGGTGTTTGTTCAGAGCTCATAACATCTCATCGTCGTCATCGGTCGTAGTCTTGTCAGCAGGGAGGCTCCTGGCCTCTTCTGTCTCTCATTCATCCACCCACACACGCTTCCCTTTCATGTGTGCTGTGCTGTGCTGTGCTGTGCTGTGCTGTGCTGTGCTGTGCTGTGCTGTGCTGTGCTGTGCTGTGCTCCTCTCTTCTCTTCTCACCCAACAGCATCTACTACTGGTCGTACTGTCGTTGGGGTCTGTCAGGTCTGTCGGGTCGGGCAAATTGGGGGTACGAGCGGGGACGAGGTTGGTGGGTTAGGAAACATGCGAAGGCGGCGGGGGAGTATGGCAGTAGCGCTTGTGCTGGCGGCGTCATGCTGGGTGAGTGGAGGACAAGAGTGTGGGACCCTCGACCAAGTGCAGTCATGCAGAGAAGACTGTGGAAGCTGTGCGGCAAGTGCGTGCTGTGCGCTTGAATGGGACCTCCCTTCAACCTCGGGCATGGACTTCGCGCAAAAAATTCTGGGCATGGCAGCAAGCGGGGGCCCTGATACGCTCTATCAGTTGCAAGGACACGTTGCAAACTACGGCAACTGGAGTTTTGACATCTATGATGAATCGCCGAGGAAGATACAGGTGGGTGAAGTAGAAAATTTCAAGGGAAAAGCAGCATTGTACCGAACAGTTCGCGCAAATTTCGTGAGATGTCGTTAGAGTTCGATCGTGCAAGGGTAGTGTATATGAGCAGTCAGATATCAGACAGTGAGAAGAAGAGCTGTTGGTGTGAAGGAACGAGGAGGACATGCATGCGTAGTAAAGTCCGAGTCAAAGGAAGTGAAGCAAGTATGTAGCTGAAGGTTTTTACTTGCAAGCCTTCTCTTTCTGTCGCTCTTCTGACTTGAGACCGGCAGATGTTTCACGTTCCTCCTGAATGGGCGGCGAGCAACTTCGGCCTTGGGGTCCGTCGAGTGGACGAGATCTCACTAAGTATCTTCGATGCCTCCTCCTCCTCCTCCCGCGTCGTCGCCTTCAGTCGCTCCAGCCCAGCGTCAGTGGCGTTCCAGTGCGATGGAGGAAGCAACTACCAGGGGCTAGTGACGCTCATCCTCAACAGCGGCGTCTCTTCCTTCCGGCAGCGAACTCTGTACGGATGCTTTGAGCAGGCTCTGGGAACGATCCCGTCGAAGCCATGAGGAGGAGGAGTAAGCTCGATGCGAGTAGCGCCGCCTGCTCTTGTAACATAGTTGTTGATGTCAAATCGCGCATCCTCTCTCTCTCTCTTCATGACCCGCCCTCCCTCCCTCCTCTCCACTCTCCTTCATGCTTCCTCCCGTCGTCCGCTGCTACTCGGGATAAGGACGCACACCACCTACCATCGCGATGCTCTCCCTCCTCCTCCTCCTTCTCCTCCTCCTCCTCCTCCTCCTCCCGCACTTCTCCTCCTCTTCACGCCCCCTTCATCCTCCCCTCCCTCCTCCCGCCCCCTCCGCTGTCGTTCTCCTGCTCCTCCCTCCGACGGCCCCATTCCCGGGACTCTATTTGTACGGGCGCAATGGCCGGAGACTGCACGAGTGGGACGGGAGGGGCAGGGAAGCAGAGGAGGGAGGGAGGGAGGGAGGAGGAGGAATGGTGAAGAGATGGAGGAGGGTGGGAGGGAGGGAGGAGGAGGAATGGTGAAGAGATGGAGGAAGGCAATGGGCGATCTATTATGCGTCATAGAGCGTGAGGAAAGCAGAGGAGATGCAGAGTTCTCTTGCAGCGTCCATCCTCCTCCTCCTCCTCCTCCTCGCCTCCAGTTTGCATGAGACCGGAGAAGCTGAACTCACGCGTGAGAGTCCCCACTCGGCACTCCCGGCATGCACAGCGGCAGGGAGGTGCTGGTTGGCATGCAGGGCAAGGGGAGGAAGAGGGCAGGAGTTCAGCGACGACGTCTCCGAGGAGGAGAGGAGGTCAGGATGGGCTCGGCACAGAAGCAGAGCTCCTGACTTGGATGCAGGTATGGAGAAGCAAGGAAGAGGTCGTATGAAGGACACCCTCACGAGACGACCCCGCACAAGTTCAAGAGGAATAGGAGGGAGATTCCTTCTCCTGCTGATCCTGCCTTGGATGTCGACGACTGGGGAGCCAACGTTAAGAGTGCATGGGGGAAGGAGGAGGAGGAGGAGGAGGAGGAGGGGAAGGAGTGGAGGCAAAGGGAGCGTGTGGAGGAGGTGGCATACAACTGGAGGCTCCAAGGCAACGAGGAAGGAGCTGGCGATGTGAGAGAGGCGGAGGAGAACATCACAGCAGCGAGCAACGTGACAAGGCAGTGGTCCAGCAAGGCCAGGATCAAGGACCCGGAGGTCATGGCAGCGGTGAAGACGGGAGTGAGGACAGGGGAGCTGAAGACGCTGAAGAAGGGGTTCGGATTCATTCGCATGCATCCTGTTGGGGAGGAGCCCAAGGTAGACATCTTCTTCGAGGTCACCGATCAGAACCTCCACGACCTCAGGGGCCTGCTGGTGGGTCAGAAGGTTCAGTTCATCTTGGACTTCGGACCTCACAACCTGCTGCGAGCTTACAGCGTTCAGAAGTTTGTGAATCAGAGTGAAGTCGATCCCATCGCCAACCTGCTGATCGCCCACGACCTCCCGACGTCGTTTGCGGGGAGATTGCCGCGGCATCTCATGGGTAATGGTGGTGGTGGTGGACTTTGTGGAGGTTTCGATGCTTGAGATGATGGAGATGATGAAGAAGACTATTGAGGATGGGGAGGAGGACGAGGACGAGGACGAGAACGAGGACGAGGAGGGGAGAGGGGGGGGGTTGGGTAGCGGAGGAGGAGGAGAGAGGAAGACGTGACGTCTGCTTTGGAACTTTCTGACTGAAGGTGATGGTGCAGGTCCTTTCGCATGGGACGAGGTCTCAATCATGAACTACGCGTCCAAGATGCGGAAGAGGAGGGAGTACGAAAAGAAACATCCCCGTCCCAAGATCGACAAGGAAGGATTTCCTATTCTCGAGCCAGGGATGCAGCGGAAGGGAGGGGCAGGGCCGGTGGGAGGGATGGAGAAGGGTGCAGATGGAGAGCTGGAGGAGGAGGAGGAGGAGGAGAAAGAGGTTGAGAAACAACCGCGGAAGAAGAAAGCGAGGAGAAGGAGGAAGAAGAAGCCGAGGAAGAAGAAGAAGACAGCGCGAGAGATCGAGGACGAGATGGGGGAGGAGAGCAATACGTGGATAGAGTTTCTGCCAGAGATAGAGTATAGAGGAGGCGAACGATGGGAAAGGAGGACAGATGATAAGGGCAGAGCATTCTACATCGACTGGAAGAGTCTCAAGTCGCAGCGGGAGCCTCCAAGGGGAAGGGAGGGGAAGGGAGAGATGCTGGAGAAGGCAGCGTGGGAGCAGGATGGGGAAGAGGACGAGGAGATTAGGCTTCTTGCAGGGACGAGAGGATGGGAGGTCGGGGATATAGATTTGCAGCAACAGGAGCGGCAGGAGGAGATGAAGGAGGAGGAGGAGGAGGGAGAGGTGGAGGAGATGGAGCCGATTTCCATCAGCTCGGCGGACTGCTGGGACAAGGATGTGGGGGAGATGGACGAGAAGGACCGGGAAAATCAGCTGAAGAGTCTGCTGGCCATGACGATGGATGTGGACGCTTTGCGTATCCTCGTTGACGGGAAGTTTGACCGCAAGATGTCAAAGTTGCTGCATAGCAGCGAAGGGGTGAAGGAGTTTGTTAGGAGGATGCAGGAGGACTGGAAGAAGTTCGACCACCTGGATGGGAGCAAGATGATGAGCAGGCTGTTAGCGATGAGGGCGGAGGAGAGGAGAGGCTGGATAGAACAGTTTGGCGAGCAACTGCTGGGGTTGACTGAGCAGGACGCAAGAGGGAGCGGGGGGAGTGACGGAGGGCAAGAGGGCGAGGGGAAAGGAACCCCGTTGCTGCAGCTGCTGACGGGAAGGTCAGCAGGGGAGGAAAGAAAAGTCTCCAAGTTCTTCCAGATCGGAGCTCGATACATCAAGCTCCCTCCTGCGCTGCGGGGGACTGAGTTCGAGAAGTTGTGGAAGGCGTGTCTAGAGCACTACAACGAGGTCAACGCAATCTGTGCTTCCATCAACGACGGCAGCCTCTCCAACTTCCGTGGCGAGGACGCTGCGGCCAGCAGCTCGGGGTACTCAGTGGGCAGCAAGAGGGTCCTCAGTGACGGAAAGTGCACCAGCGACGTTCTCACACAACCCCTCCTGCAACTCGAAGAGAAGTTGCGAGAGGCCGGGCGAGGGGAGAAGGAGGAGGAGGAGGAGGAGGAGGAGGAGGAGGAGGCCAGGCTGAAGCAGCGGATGGCAGTGCTGGACATAGTTTGCCCTCAGCTGAACCTCTGGGAGGAGTGCATGAAGCAAGGAGACGACATGATCGCAGACAGTGAGAGCATGAAGAGATTCGTGGCGGGGACTTTCTCCGGCTCCTCCTCTCCTCTCATCAACGCCCTGGGCGTCATCATCAGAGAGAAGGAGGACAAGGACAAAGAGCCGAAGCAGCAGCAGCAGCAGCAGGGGAAGGAGGAAGGAGAGGCGGGACAGCAGATGGCAGCGGCTCTAGAGCTCCTTCAGGCTTGCGATGAGAGGACCAGGGCTCGGTTCGAGGTCGCGCAGCTCCAGCTCGCCTACAGCAACGTCTCCAGCTACGACCCTTGCAAGCTCCTCTTCTGCCTCCTGAGGGCTGAGGTGATCCTTCCCTTCCAACAGCTCGACCTCGCCGAGCTCAACTGGCAGCCCAGCTCTATCTCTGCTGTCCTCCAGCAGAGGATCCAGAGCTCGCTGCTGGGGGCTGGCGTCAGGGTTGTCAGAGTGCACGGGGAGGAGGGGGAGGAGGGGGCAGAGCTGCTTCTTCACCGCAGGATGTGGAACGCGTCTCAGCATGGCGACTTGCCAACTCTCCAGCAGGCCCTGGAGAAGGGAGCACATCCCAACTACGTGCGGTCCGACATGCTGGGCTTCTCAGCCCTCCATGCTGCCTGCTCGCAGGGGCACGTCGAGGCTGTCCAACTGCTGCTGGGGAAGGGAGCGGATCCGAACATGACGGACTTCGAGATGAACAGTCCTCTCTTCCTCTCCTCCTTCTCCGGCAGCTCCTCCTGCATGCAAGCCCTCCTCCTCGCCGGCGCCTCCCCCGACGTGCCCAACAAGCTCGGCTACTCCCCGCTGCACGTGGCAGCTCAGACTGGCTTCCAGGAGGGGGTCGAGCTCCTGCTGCGCGCTGGGGGCGACCCCTTCCTCCGGAGCTACGACGGCACCACCGCCCTCGAGCTTGCTGAGCAATCGAACCACTCGGAGATAGTCAAGCTCCTCCGTCGGGCGTGCGGACGAGGGGGGGAGGAGGAGGCGCCGGTCGTCTTCCACATCCTCCTCAAGCACTCCCGCTCTCGTCGTCTCTCCTCCCCTCGAGACCCCGCGGGCATCGCCATCCGACAGCGAACTGAAGAAGAGGCGAGGAGGCAGCTGCTGCGAGTGCGAGAGACGTTGATCTCTATCGCACAAAACAAGTCAGGAGGAGGAGGAGCTGCTGCAGCAGGAGTAGGAGCAGATGTGATGGAGGCGACTTTCAGAGAGTTGGCCGCGAATATGTCGGACTGTCGGAGCTCCGAGCATGGCGGACTTCTTGGGGAGCTGAGAGGGGAGAGGATAGAAGGGAGCTTTCGACGAGCAGCCCAGGACCTCAGCAAAGGAGAACTTTCCCAGCTCGTGTCCACCTCGTCTGGTGTACATCTCATCCTCAGGAAGCGATGATGTGTATGTCTGCAACTAATGAAATGTGTGTTGAAAAGGCCAAGTCTGTTATCAGTGTCGGGATGGTTGACAACACAATCCTGCACATCCTCGTTGAATCCTCAGACAACCCCTTCGGACCTGTGTTGTTCTTCATTTCATTAGCTTTACAAACTGCACTTTCCATTCATCTTGCACCAAACGACCTTCATCATGGAATATCCCTCATGTCAACATGCATGCTCTTATTTCTGCCTCGTACTCGTCTATCGCTGCGAGGTGATCCATCGGCAACAAAGTTCCTGCAGGCTCATAAAAGCTTGTAGAGGAGGAGGAGGAGGAGGACGGAGGAGGAGGGAGGAGGAAGGAGGAAGGAGGGAGGAGGGAGGAGGGAGCAGGGAGTACCTTGCGAGAGTTGGCTCGCAGCTACGTTTGGCTTTTGAGGTCTAGAAGGGGATCAGCAGCATCGACAAGCAGGAGGACAAGTGAAGTTACGTCAGAGCCGTCGAGGGCTGCCAGCCTTGAGTCTTCACCTTCTTCACCAGAACATCCGCTTGTTGCTGCTCCATCGTCACCCGCCGTCACCGCTCCTCCCCTCCGTCCCTCTTACCCTCCTCCTCCCCTCTGCTTCTTCTACACTCCCCTCCTGCCTCTTCTGCAACTCTGCTCTCTACGTCTGCCTGCTTCTCTCCCTGCTTACCCCTCCTCCCTCCACCATTCCCTCCCTCTCTCCTGTTACCAGATCCATCAAGAAGCGGTCGGCAACCTGGTTCGCCATGCGCTGACAAGAGACCATCTGTTCGAACCTGTCCTTGGACGCCGCACTGAGGTTGACAGGCTGACGCAGCGTATGCGAGTCTTCATCTTCATTCGTCTGCATGAGCTCGTAGGAAGCGACGAATGTGTCCTCTATCGACTTTGAGAGCTGCATAACCAGCTTTAGAACTCATCCCCTCTCCCATTATCCTGCTCCTGCTCCTGCTCCTTGGATGGTTCACACGTATGCCTTTCTTCCCTGATTTGCCGATCTTCCTCCTCCTCACTTATCTCCTCCTCATCTATACCTCCTCCTCTTCCTCCTCTTCTTCTACTTCTCACTGCTCACCTCCCCCTCTTCCCTCCTCTCCTCTCCTCTCCTCTCCTCTCCTCTCCTCTCCTCTCCCCTCCCCTCCCCTCCCCTCCTCTCCTCTCCCTCTCCCCTCTTCTCCTCTCCTCTCCTCTCCTCTCCTCTCCTCTACTCTTCCTCCCTCCTTACCTGATAGATTCGATTCTCCATCGCGCGAAACCCCTAGCCTACCCCACCCTCAGTGAAACAAATTTCCACCACCACCCACCCTATTTTCAACATACCATGACCTCCCTGAGTACCCCACTTCAATGCCTACTACCCCTTCACCAATCCTTGCCCTGACGAAATGGCCCAACAAGGCTCAGTAGAGGAGGAGGAGGAGGAGGAGGATGGAGACTAGGGGAAGGAGGAGGAGGAGGAGGCACGAACTTCAACGTGGCTGTGGAGACATTCTTTCATTCATGCGCTCGAGCTATGGAAAGAGGTCCTCCGCATGCAGAAGAAACTCGTTCACGATGGAGCAGCAGACAGGAGCCTCCATGGTCACCTTGCAGGCAAGTCACCGACTCCATCCTCCTCCTCCCCTCTCTCCCTCACCGTCAGCACGTCATCGGACGATCGGAGCATGCACGGGCCGAGCGATACCGCCAACCACCACCTACAATGCTGGAATGAGACTGAGGGGAGCGTTCAGTCGGAGCACTACCTGACCCTCTGCTGTGCCCTCGCCTTCACTTGCTCCGCTGCCTCTCCGGCTTCACTCTGCTCCTGCCCCATGTCAGCTCCGTCGCCCTGCCCTCGTTCCTCCACCTTGACGGGAAGGAAGGCGATTTTGCTGAGGTACCGCAAGAGCCTCCTAGCGGTCACGTAGTGCGATTTGGGCATGCTACAAGGGAGAAAGTCAGCCAGGAGAAGCACAGGAGAGGAGATATAACGTCTCAACAATGACGTAGAAAGTCTGGATGGGGAAAACACGTTCTCCCTCCTCCTCCTCCTTGCTCCCTTGTGCGCAGAACTTGCGATACTCCTCCAAGATGGCAGCGCTGACGTTGTAGGGGAAGAGAGGCTGGGGGAGGAGGAAGAGGTACTCCTTCAGGAGGGCGAAGTGAACCAAGATGTTGTCCGAGGGGATCTTGGCAGCGGGAGCATCGTCCAGCAGCTGCTTGCTGACTTCGATCTGTTCTCTGATGTCCTGGTAGCCATTGCTCGGGGCGATGAGCATGTCCAGATCCGAAGCCTTCTTCTTGGCGCCCATCCCGTCCGCAAGGTGGAGGACGAGAGGAGGATGCGAGTGCTGGTGCCCTGGGAGACCGCTGCCGTGCCTTTCCCCCGGAAGGTCGAGGGAGGAGGCCAGCTCTGCTAGGATGTTCTCGAGGACGATGGGGGATCGCTCCTCCCTGCGGTGAGAGGATGTAAGGAGGGAAGGCGTGCGAGGAAGGAGGGGGCGCGTTACCTCAGTCCTCCACATGACGCTATCACTTCCATCTCCCTCCTGACCACAACCTGGGGCCGTTAGTTCACCACGGGGTCTAGAGTGGCGCACATTGACATGTAACAGTTGAAGGTAAGATGTAAAGGTAACAGTGAAATGTAGTAAACAACAGAGCGTGTGACGTGATGCGATGTGATGTACAAGGACAAGTGACAAGTGGAGGGGAGCGGAAGGGAGGAGGGGGAAGAGGAAGGGAGGCAGTGGGTTCCTTACCTGGAGGGCAACTCCGAAGGAGGCGATAGGGTGTTGTAGCATCTTGTAGAAATGAACTGACGACTGCTTGGCCGCCTGACCTGCCGTAGGGGCGAGTGACGGGGCTGGTGATACAGCAGGTTATGAGTCCTCTCCTACCAAAGTCTCCGATCTCCTTGAGCAGCCTCGTTCTCACCGTCTGCCGCCAGACTGCGTTCCTCTCCCCCGCCT